CATGGACAAATATTTTTGCGGCTTTCATCTTGCGACACCTACCTAAATAGGTTTATAAATAAATAAGCGTATAATTATCCAGAAAAACAAACACCTCTTGACTGCCACATTTGGAAAAACAGGGACGGGCGTCGGATGATTACCGTTGATGCGGGGAAATTGATTTGAAAATTATATCTACAAAGGGTTGCGGCGTTAAGGTAGCGTAATCTATATCGGGGGTATCCGCCCCCCTTGTAACCTTGACCTCAACAGCTGAATCTGGAAACATTACAAAACCAGCCTAGTAACAAAACGAAATCTAGCCGCCTTCTTAAGTTTACTATTACAATTGTAGGACCCGAAAAAACATTCTTCAGAACCCACAAGTACGCACTATTGCGTTTTAGAGTTACTACCAGCGTTAAAAGGCTAAAATTGCAGTGGAATGAATCAAACTGGTTAAGTTTCATAGAAAATTAGTTTGTACAATGACTGCTGTTATCGTATTACACATACAAAGTGATTGTCGAGCAAAAAACAAATAACATAAATGAGACATGGCTAACTTACATTATTGATGAGGAACTAGATGCGATGTACCAGCAAAACCCACACTCACATTTACTTTAAATTAACACAACATTAATAGAGTTATTTACGATATACTTAAGACGCTCAACGCCGATTTAATTGTTGAAATAAACAAAACACGATCTGTCGGTGTCTCCGAAATTCATTACAGGTTATGTCTTTTGTGGCGGTTACGTTTACATACTATGCTTAGAAACAAATCGTCAGACATCAATCGAGACGTTTAACGACGTCGGTTTTTATTGAAGATATAGGTAGAAAATACACGAACAATGTAAAATAATCGATATTCAAGGCGACTGCACTCACAACTCGCGGACATACACAAAACTCCGTTTAATTTTGACAGGAGCGAGCCCAATGAGCCCGTCTTTGTTATTTGAGCATGCGCACCGCCTACATTGATTATTTTTCAAATCGGACCCTGCGTCGACTTTTCAAGCATAAGGCGTCAAAACCAATTAATTTCTAACTGATATCTTCATCTTCATAAAAAGTTAACACTTTGTTGATGAATAGAATTAACAATAATCAGATGGTTCTTTATATTTTCGTCACAAATTATTTTTTTTAAGTATACCCAGGTACATAGGTATATTTTTTGTACGTTAGTATAGAATTTCTTGCATCATTTTTTGACATTTCCAAATGTAGATTGTAACGAAAAACATAAAAGTGGTTCACTGAATATTTATTATAATATGCAGCGAAGCCGAGCTACCTACCTTATTCTTGTCGAAATGGGAATTGAGGTTCTTTTTGGTGTAAATAATTACCATTTTGTTATGGACTTATTGTAGAGTAATATGTTCTCCGCAGTAAGTTTAATTTCCATATTCAATTAGAAATATTACTTAAATATTAACGTTTCAATGACGATGCTGATGACATCTGCATTTTTTAAAATTATTTAAATAATTGTATTTGGTAAAATGGCTTGTTAAATAATTGGAACTTTTTTGTTTTAAAGAAATGAAATATATTTCTGACGAAATGAACAGAACAGGAGACAATATATTAGCTTTCACATCGCCTAACACATTTGGGAATTAAAGACAATTAAAGACTGAAAAGGACCGTATAAATTGGCTTTTTTTTTAATATTGCATAAAACTAAGGAAAAAACTTATGCCACAAGGATACGTCAAAGATTTTATTTACTGTTCTTTAAATTTACACCATGGTGAAATAACCAAAACAAATTAAATTATATAAAAAATGTTATAAATGAGTTCTTTCACTTCATGTTTTGTTATTTTTATAGATGAGGAATATTTATTTTGAAATGCTCTCCTCGACTGGAATGGCGGTTTTTATTTTGTTATACAGGGTGTTCGGAAAGTATGAGACGATTCTATTCATAAAAATTATGGCTCCATAACACTTTTTGCAAAATTTAATATTAAGTCTAAATTATTTTTTTAGAACTAATATTTTATTATTTCTTTTCAGTCTAGCAATTTTTTTCAAATTTGTTGCACTTATTAACTGCTCCTACGAAAAAAATTAGAGATAGACTCAATCTCAGTTTCCATTTTGCAATCAACATATCCGAAATTTTTTGTAAATAGATATGTCGAACATAAATATTTAACAAAGTATGATTATTTAAAAAATTATACAGAGGTCGTTATAAAGAGAAATTATTAGAACATTTTTTTTTTCTAAAATCATAAAAAACGTATCTTATTTCAGTCACGTTTATATTTATACATAATTTAATGTGATCACTAGGGGGATCTCAGGAACTATTAGAGATACTGTAAAGCTTATGGACATAAAATAGTTCATTTGAATTAAAACAAAATAATAAGTCACTTCTTTTAAAATTTAGTTTTGCAGATCTACAGAAAAACTCAGATGTATTTTTTTTTCTTTTATTTATGAGAAATACCAATTCCTTAATTTTTTCGTATGGATGCCAAGTTGGATTTTATTTAAAAAGAAATAATTGTTACTCTAGTATCAAATTATACAATGTTTAAAGAGAGGCATTTTTTTATGATTCCCAGCATAATTTCCAACATCCCTACCCGGTATGTACCTAAGGGGAGCAGGGATTGGCACCGCCTCTTTCAGAGACCTCAGTTCCCAACCCACCCTAGAAAAAAAAACGCTGACCAGCTGGCCCCTCAAGATCCACCCCAAGCAAAAATCCTACCTACGTCCATGATCCCTACAGGGTAGATTAAATTTAGATATGTAAAGAATGAAAAGATGGAAATGGGCATAATAAAAGTATAAATTAACGACAGTCAACCACCAAACATATACAGATAAGTGTCAAAACTTTTCTGCCCGGTTGATTTCTAGTTAAATCTACGTAGGGTCCACGTCAAAAGTTCCAGACTCTGTCAACCCAGAGGCAGACAATAGTGAAAGTGGAGGCTCCACGAGCTCCTGTCCAGGTCCACCAGGTATAAGCGAGCTTCGCACTAAATTTTTATAGTGATTTATATTCGTTTTGAATGATATTTATATTATTTTTTCCTATAAAACCCCTCCACGAAATGATGCAGCAAATACACAAGTTGAATCATTTTTGCGATTCGAAAGCACCGCTGTCCAATTAGGGGGGGGGGGGATTTCACCCTCTGACCGACAGAATTTGGAATGTACACGACGATTCACAACTTATCTAAAAAATTTTTTGTAAAATCCTGTTTCCAAAAAAAATTATTTAATTGTAGTATTTACAACCCTTACATCACTGGGCTACTGTAGTCTCTAGTGTCATTTGAGTTGTGTGCTGTACGCAATGCAAGTGTTCATAGTTCAAAGGTAATATAGAATTTCCCAACATTTCCCCAACATATAAAAAAATCCAGGTAACTTGTAGTTAATCTTTACATACTAATTGATGTTTATGCATTAACCTTTTTCTAAACTGGACTCCATAACTTTTTTTATACCCAAAAGAACCTCTTATAAAGGTTTTAGAACCACAAATAGTTTTCTCTTTCAAGAACCCAGGGCCAACTTTCACAAAATTTCCAGTAGCAAACGTGAAATTCCCCGACTTTCATGAATACTTTTAAAATTCCGTTTTTTATGAAGAATAATGAATTCCCCGACTTTTCTCGGTGTTCTAGGCCGCTACGAACCGTAAATGCGCCCTCTCTCTATATCGCTCCAGGCGATTCCAAATACCAATATCCGATTTTGGTACTAACATTTTTGCGATAGTATTTACATTAGTTTTTTAAGTGTCAAAAATGGCTTACGTGTATAGCAACTCGGAGTTGATGGATATCGTTTTAATTTTGGTGAAGCAAGACATTTGTTAATTCGTAGAAACGATTTCAAATGCGAGATTATGCAAATAAATCCAAGTCCTACTGGACCATTTTAAGAATTATTTGATCTAACAAATTATACAAGTTTATGCATTAAACTTTTTCAAAACTGGACTCGATAACATTTTTTATATCCAAAGAACCTCTTACAAAGGTTTTAGAAGAACAAATAGTTTTCTCTTTCAAGAATCCGGGGCCTGCTTTCATAAAATTTCCAGTAGCAAACGTCAAATTCCCCGTCATTCATGAATACTTTTAAAATTCCTTGTTTTTTTTATGAAAAATAATTAATTCCCCGACTTTTCTCGGTTTTCTAGGCTGCTACAAATCGTAAATGCACTCTCTCTCTATATCGCCCCGGGCGATTCCAAATACTGATATCCGATTTTGGTATTAACATTTTTGCGATAGTGTTTACATTAGTTTTTCGAGTGTCAAAAATGGCTTGTGTATAGCAATTTGGAGTTGATGGATATCGTCTTAGCAGTTGAATTTGATGATATAAAATAGGTGTTATAAAATTTTTTTTTTCAATTTTTTTGTCCGTTCATGCTGCATGCTTTGCTTTGCGCAAGGTAAGGTTTTATCGTTTTCGAACTGTCCTTTTCGATTTTTTTTATAAAATTGTATTTGTAAGTCTTCCAGTACATACAATTTTTTTTTTCGGTTAAGTTCTGAATCACCCTGTATAATATACCCCCATATTTAAACAAATTTTTGGGCGGTTGCTGCATCATTTGACAGCTATTGCGACAACAATAGACACTGTACGATTAACCGTAGTTGTAGTACCAAGTCAGCGACTTGACGTGCAACGCCAGTAATTAGAATTTGAGAAAATTCCGTGAAAATTTGAGAATTGCTAGATTTGTACCTATACACCCTGTTGTTACCAAAAATAAACGTACGAATTCTGAAAAAAAAAAAAATCTTCAAAAAATTTACGGCAAAACATTAATTTAAAAAAATAATTTTGGCGAGTCAAACTACATCTTCAATTTTGTTCCCGCCGTTCTTGGACACTGTTTAACTATTAATTAACTACTAAAAATTTGATTTTTTTTTTTTTAAATAAAAAATTAGCGTCTTGAACCAAACGACTCAACCCAAGCGTTGACTGATTCATCGAAATACAACTCAGACACAGTAAGTTTTATTAACTTAATCAAATACAAAAATCCTCTAATGGAAACTGATCCTCCCACTCGGAAACCATAATGAACCTTATCTATTACGAACGCGCCTCGCTCCCCTCCTCTCAATCGCTGTCCTCGTGCCTTCTCGACTTCTTTTTCCGATGAGACCTATGACTGGGGCTCCTAGACCTGGACTTGTGCCTTCTGGACCTGCTGCGGGACCTCTCGCGTCTGTGAGACCTTTCCCTCTCTCTGTCTCTCGGTTTCTCGGAACGGCTTCGGCTGGATTCCCTGTCCCGTTCTCTATCTCGATCGCGGCCCTCCTTGTGGGGGCTACCCTCACGCCTGCTCCCGGGAGAAGACATTCGTACCGGTGGGATAATCGGCGGTGGTCCCATGTGCACCGGAGGCGGACCCATTGGAGGAGGACCCGTGAGGGTCTTCAGATCCGACGGGGCCCAGCCTGGCTCCGCTTCGTTACCTGAAAAATACGATTTGTAACGAAAAAAAATTTTGGAATTCCTATGGTATTTTTTTGCAAGTTAAAAAATTAACAGAGTTAAATAAATGAAAAAAAATAATAATAATAAACATCAAAACAGTTATTTTTGTATCTACAATGCGAAATGGTACTTTTGCGTCAAGATTGCTAATATCCGTTAGAAAACGCAAAAACATTTTGCATTTGCGATGCACACTATTTTTTCGAAAACTGCAATAAAATAAGACAATTTTTGTTTAATTTATATTTGAAATCGTTTGAACCGTGTTGGAATCAAGACGGTTTAAGCGCGGTGACTATCATAACGATACCAACCTAATAAACAATAAAAATTAGTTGATTGAAAAAGTAGTGTCAGTATTATTTTTTGTAATTCATATCCTAGGAGTGTTTAATTCAAAAGGGGCTCGGAAAGTGAGGACGAGCATTTACCAGGGTAAATATTGGTAGCGGCTCAAAGTGCCGTTTCACAATTTATGTCCAAAAAATTGTCGAGACAGTACGAGATTGCCTACAACGAATTCAAAGGGTGGTGTAGTTCGAAAAAAATTCGAAAAGTGTCCGAAGCGGTATTACTGGATTATAGTCAATATATTCCATGTTAAAAAGTACACTGAATGCCAAAAAAAATGTAAATATCAAAAAACTTTCAAAACTAATATCATATTTGAAAAGCAAATCAGTTGGATACCGTCTGAAAAAGTCCAGAATTCTAACGAAAAAGGAAATTGAGATTTTTACAAGCACCTGATAATAGATTTCTGCTAGAAAAGGTAGTTCAAATTAATATAAATCGATCGATTTAACTAATTTTGGACAATTCTTCAGGTCATTTCAATAATTGATGTTCGTGGAGCTGAAAATCGACAGAGAATCAAATTTTGAGCAAAAAATATATGAAGAATTTTTTTGAGAAATCAATAGTTTTTTAATTATTCACGATTGAAAACTTGGAAGTTTGAGTGAAAAAAAAAACACTTTTAAGGTATTTTTCGCGAATATCTCAAAAACTACGCATTTTATTAAAAAAAAGTGTAATGAACAAAAATGTAGCTTATAAATAAACAAAGAAAATCGTTTTTTAAAAAGTGTTGTATGTCCTATACAAAGCGAAATATGGTTAGTGGAAGGGGACTTGTTTTGGGGGGAATACTCGAATCGATGTATTCAACGTCAAATAACAGAAAAAGGATTAATTTTTGGTACATAACGCCCCTGGAGTTTTTTGTAGTACTCAAAAAGACCTTCAAAATGAGCGCTTATAAAAGTTAATTGGAGCAAAATTGAATGAGTTATCGTCAAAAACAGATGGGTAGCTCATATATTTTAAGGAAAAATGAGCAGTAAACGCTGTACCATTTCCATCAGAATTAAAATTAATCGTAGACCCTTTACAATTAGTTTTGTTTTAGTGTTTTTCATACGATCCTAAAGTTAGACCGGTTTAGAATGCGTATTTTTTTAATAATGTACGGTAAAAGTTGAAAACATATTTTTCATTATTAAAAAAAAATTCCCTTATTTATATAATAACTGAAACTATGAAAGATACCTAAAAATTGATACACAACAAAAAAGTAGCTTTTTTTTCAACAAATATTTTGCTTTTTTTATTCCTATAGCATAAAAAATAAAGGAAATATCGCTGCTTGAAGTATCTATTTTAGTGAAAAAATGATTTGTCTTGAGCCCTTCAATTATTTCTCTTTAAAAAACCAAGGACTTAAAAGGTTTTATATGCAAACAATCTTATAGCTCTTGAAATTATCTTTAAAATACTTTTTTGTAGGATACAATAGTTTCAAAATTAACCAAGTTATTAGTAGTTAGTTAGTAAAAAAAAACAAGGACAATTTTTCGGAGCAAAATAGTCTTTCTCATTTTTATATATTATACAAATAAAAGAAAATTTTTTTCGAGAAATCAATAGTTTTCAATTGTGAATAACTAATTCATGATTGAAAACTTAGAATTTTGAGTGAAAAAAAAAACACTTTTTCAAAGTATTTTTCGCGAATAACTCAAAAACTACGCATTTAAATAAAATAAATGTAATGAACAAAAATGTAGCTTATAAATAAACAAAGAAAATCGTTTTTTAAAAAATGCTGTACATTCTATACAAAGCGAAATATGGTTAGTGGAAGGGGACTTGTTTTGGGGGGAAAACTCGAATCGATGTTTTCAACGTCAAATAACGGAAAAAGTATTAATTTTACGTGTATAACGCTCCTGGAGTTTTTTGTAGTACTCAAAAAGACCTTCAAAATGAGCACTTATAAAAGTTAATTAGAGCAAAATTGAAGGAGTTATTGTCAAAAACAGATGGGTTGCTTATATTGTTTAAGGAAAAATGAGCAGTAAACGCTGTACCATTTCCATCAGAATTAAAATTAATCGTAAACCCTTTACAATTAGTTTTGTTTTAGTGTTTTTCATACGATCCTGAAGTGAGACCGGTTTGCATATATTTGAATAATGTACGGTAATAGTTGAAAACGTATTTTTCATTATTCAAAAAAAATTGCCTTATTTATATAATAACTCTGAAACTATGAAAGATACGTAACAAATGATAGACAACAAAAATGTAGCTTTTTCTTCAACAAATATTTTGCTTTTTTTTATTCCTATAGCATAAAAAATAAAGGAGATATCGCCGCTTGGAGTATCCATTTTAGTGAAAAATGACCTGTCTCGAGCCCTTCGATCCTTTCCCTTTAAAAAACGAAGGACTTAAAAGGTTTTATATGCAAACGATCTTACAGCTCTTGAAATTATCTTTAAAATGCTTTTTTGTAGGATACTATAGCTTCAAAATTAACCGAGTTATGGTAAAAAAACCAATGACATTTTTTCGGAGCAAAATAGGCTTCCACATTTTTATATATTATATATATCATATTATACAAATAAAATAAGTAAAAAAATTTTGTTTATTTATTTATATGCAGCGTAGCAATTTTTTTATGATTGATTATATTTAAAAATCGATTATAATAAAAATATTTTACATTAATATTGGTAAAAGGGTAGTTTATAAGAGTTCAAAATGGCAAAAGTAAAATATTCTTTCATAAACAATACAAGGGAATTTTTATTTTAAATTATTGCACAATTATAGCATTCCAAGATTTAAAACGTAATTTATTATAAATTTTTTTTGCACAGGGGTGATTTATAAGGGTTGAAAAGTGTTATTTAAATAATTGCACCGTTAAAACATTCCAAGCTTTTAAAAGTAATTTTTTGTCATATTTGTCAATCAGGAGTGGTTTTTAGGGGTTGAAAGGGCAAAATTATTTTATTAGCTATAAGGTAACTTTTATTTTAAATAATTGCACGATTTAATCATTCCAAATCTTTAAAAAGTAATTTTTTATCATTCTTTTTTGCATAGGGGCAGTTTTTAAGGGTTAAATAAAGGATCACAAAGATCAAATATATCATAAAACATGTTCGAGAACATGGAACATGATTTAATCTTTGCGCTTGAACAAGATTTTTATCAATAAAATGCTTAAAACTTAATTTTTTCAATTTTTTTCACTTTGCCCCTAAAAAACAAAAAGCGTCAATCGGACTTATGTCACTTTTGAACTTGAGCCTAAGATGAGCCTTATTCTAAATTTTCATGCAAATCCATGCAGTTTCAAAGAATTTGGAGGTTACAGCTGATTTTCAGCTTCAATTACTGTACTATAAAGACAACAAGCGAAGATATAGAAGACAAAGATTCAATTATTATTATAAGAATTCTCGATTCCAAAACTCATATTTCGAGATGTTTTGTGATTTCAACTCCAGACCAAATGAAGATATACCACAAATACTGTACTTTACGTCCTGCAGTAACTACAAGTCAAAGGATTTTTGTGAAGTATGTCAGGGAAAAATGTGTTAATCATGCGGTTGGCGTCAACAAAATAAGGAATGTGCCAGAAGAAATAGCAACTTATCTCAATTTGCCTCATCTGGAAACTTATACAGGGAACAGCTTTAGACGTTCTTCGGCCACTCTGTTAGCCGATGCAGGGGCCGATATTACCACCATTAAACGACATGGGGGTGGCGTTCTAGTATGGTAGCGGAGACGTATAAAGAAGATTCTATACAAAACTACACTAAACCTAAGTAATTACAGCGGCAGCCTTATTGAACACCCAGAACTAAAAGCTAAGATAACTGACAGCACTGGATCTGGCATAAATTTAACTCACCGCAATATCGGCACTTTCAATTTACGTGTAGTGCAAAATAAATCGTAATCGTCCTGTTTATAATCGTTACTGTTTTGTATTTAAATGTTATTTTACTTAAAATGGATATTGATTAATTAATAAAAGAATAAATAAGTTTTGAAAAAATGACAAATTATTGAGACATTTATTTTATGTTCTAGAATGAAAAAGACTGGCGTCAACTAAAAATTTAACTAAAACCTCGACTTTTGATGATAGTTTTCGAAAAATAACGATTAATCATTATTTTCTATTTGCGATATTTAAAAAATAATAAATTTTATATCAAAGATCATTGAAATCTTTTATAAAAAAAAGTCACCTTCTTTTAAGGTAATAGGAGAGTAACCATTTCACGATCACTTTTTTTATTTAAATCCCAGTTATTAATTTTTAATTTCACAATTTTTCTGCTTTCAACACATTTTCGTTTCGTAAAGTTATCTATTGTACGATGTGTAAATTAAATATACCACACTTGAAATCAAAACAAAAGACTAATTGAATGATAAACGAACGAAAAAGTGGGGAAATGGAAGATCGAGGAATGGGGTGATAAGATACCCACTCGTTAGGTCGTGTGTCCACACTGTCTCACAACGCCCTCAGATAGCGTGCCGCGATACAACGAAATGCTTAAAATCTACTCGTGATTATAAGCTGCTGCGAATAATTTACGACTGCAAGACCAGCGAGAGGAAAGGTTCATCGAAAGACGTGTCCAAATGGGTTTACAATGTACATCTCCTAAATTTTTTATAACAAGTCCAAGGTCTTACCCCACTGTGAATCTTGGGTAGGCTCGTATCCCCCGTAGAACGGTTCCGGTTCGGGATTGAAACTGTAATCGGCTTGGAAACTGTCAAATGCCTGTGGCGGCGGGACGCTCAAATCTGGAAAACCTGTAGGCTTCCTGCTGTACTCTCTCCGATCGGCTGTCATTACCTGTCAAAGAAAAAAAAATTGATACGGGAGACGAAAACATTAAACAGAGTGTTTCAAGTGTCGTTCAAAGTTTGTTACACATTTAAAATATTAAAATTTTGAATATTTCCCTCTTTACGTTGCACTTATACCGAATTCTCCCATATCCAAAATGTGTAACCGACCCATGGCCCGCTGGTGTTGTCTGTGTGCTGTTTGGAGGTTCGGAAGCTAACCGTAAATTACAAACCTGTATGGTGTTCATCTTGGGAGGTTCAGCCTTGTTGAGGGTTGGCGGGACGGACCTTTGAGACGCTCCCCCTACAACATCAATACCACCTGTCAGTTTTCTAAATGGCGGAGGTCCGGCTTTACGCATACCTAAGAAATTGCCTGCATATTTACTGTTGTCGTTCATGATGGGCACGGGTCCTCTCGGAAGGCCTATCGGGTTCATCGGGGCCAGTCCCACTCCCGATTCGTTAACCCTCATTCTAAAAATTAATTCAATTGAATATGTACAATTTTAAACAAACTTGATGACTGCCTCGAGGCTTGTAACTAGCTTTTGTACGAACATACACGAATACAGGAGAAACTTTATATGTATCATATAAAAAAAATTACTATGGTATTTAAATTATACTGAAAACTGTTATGAATACATTCACTACTCAACTAAATTTTGTATAGTATAAATAACCTCTTGTATTTAGTAATGTATAATTTTATGTTTAACACACATTTAACATTCACTCTATATATTAAAGCAATTACCTTTTTTGCCGTTCACAGTATGCCCTCCATGTGTCCTCGTTAAACCCGTAATTAAAGTAATCAGTAATATCAGCACCAGGCTTCCTCCAAGGCTTATCTTCCAAAGAATCCAAGTTATACTCGGTAGCAGGTACGCCGTTGATAGTGCCTATTTGATCGAATTCCTCCACAGAGAACTTCCCTGGCTGTTGCTGTTGTGGTACGGGTTTATTCTTATCCCCCACAGATGTTAACAAACCACCTCTTTTAATATTCAGTGAGGTGTACGAAGGTGTAGTCGCTTTAATGTCACCGATTACAACGTTCACATCATCGTCACTGTCGTCATCCAAATCTTCTTTCTCGCTGTCATCTCCATTCTGTCTTACCTCTCCATCTTCCACGCCATCTTCATTATCCTGTCCGTTCTCTTTTTCAATATTATCCACTCCTGGAGGGCCGTCATCTTCTACCGCCTAAACATAAACAAGAGTTAGGTTAAACTACATTAGATGTATTAACTGATTAATACTTGAGGCGCAGGCACTGCCGAGACTTGTTGGGGTTCAGAAGACGGTTGTTCCCCTTTTTGAGTCCTATTTGCGGCATCACCGCTATTTATATCAGGAGTTTCGCCGTATAACCACTGATCATCTTCCAATTCGTCTGCCATTTTTGCAAGACATACAAGAAATAAGAAATGACAATTGACAACAAAAAATCTGGTAATTTTTGATTTGCCAAATTAAAATTGTATTCGTGTTTTATCGGTGAGTGAGCATTCAACGCAAAGAGATTCACAAGGCAAGGAGTACGAATTTCATAAATTCCATCTTATAAAATTAGAGGGCGCTAGTATCCCATATGCAGCGAAATAGAGGAGGGGAGATAAAGAAAGCAGCAGTTTGAAATAAAAATCAATGCCTTTTTGTGATGTGTTAAAAATTTAAAAATAAATAATATAGGCTACTTTGAATTAGATAAATAATGAAAATATGTCGGTGTACAAAGGATACTAGCGACCCTAGCGGTAAAAATTATACGTAATTTCTACTATATTTCAATTTTCCCGTATGAGTTCGTGGTCCCCCCAGTCTCCCTGACTCAACGGTTTTATTTACTTGAGGCTTCGTTTAAGAGAAACAAAACAAACGTTATATACCAAACTGCTTATAATTATTCTCTTGAAAACAAATTGCGTCTGTAATTTACGATAAGCTCGGTACTTCGCGAGTTTTTCAAGTTTATTGTAATACGCACTTTCGCATATGACCGTGACGCGGCAGCACTTCCTTATTATCAACGTTGAATAACTATGATATATACAAACAAAGGTAAATTGGAGTGAAGTAATCTGTTATACCGGCAACTTCCGTTTTGCCTTTTAGTTTTTCACTTCGTGATGGGTGAGTATTGCCAAGTTTGTTTTTTGTAAATCGCAGTTCATCTCGATAAATAATTTAGTTTTTAAATTAAATTGTGAATCATCCGTTTCTTTAACAAACGTTTTAGTTATTGCCAGGTATATTTCTGGAGATATTGTTTTATAAATATTATTTTTAACAACATAACCCATAAGTTTTTCAAATCAAAACATGGTCTTAAATGATGAGAATTTTTTACATTGTCCGATGTGTTGTGCTGACGACTCTTTCCCACAGCGTTCTGAACTATTCGTGATAACATATTTACGATTACTGTTTTACTGGCACGAATTTAATCTGTTTATTTTTTTTAGGTATCAGTCGGGACCATTGGCATAAAAGGCGAGCCACAGGAGGCAAGAGGAAGCCTCTGCGTAAGAAGAGGAAGTTCGAGTTAGGTCGCCCAGCCGCCAACACAAAACTTGGACCTCGTAGGATTCATTATGTTCGTACCAGAGGTGGTAACCTTAAATACAGGGCTTTGAGGTTGGATACTGGCAATTTCGCTTGGGGTAGTGAGGGTACCGCCAGGAAAACCCGTATTATCGATGTAGTTTACAATGCCAGTAACAACGAATTGGTGCGTACCAAGACTTTGGTAAAGAATGCTATTGTTGTAATTGACGCTACCCCGTTCAGGCAGTGGTATGAGGGACACTATATCTTACCTTTGGGTCGTAAGAAGGGAGCTAAGCTGGTGAGTTTCAGAAAATTAATTTTTTTAAATTCGTTATCCAGTATCATAAATGATGACTTTCATGCGTGTCATCTGATTTCGATGATTTAAATGCTTAGGCCTATTTGCTGATTATATTAGTGTTTTGCGTTTTAATTTCAGTTGATTACAGGAGAATGTATTTGTATGACGTGTTTTGTTGTAGACTCCGGAGGAAGAGGAAATTTTGAATAAGAAACGTAGTAAAAAAGTTCAAAAGAAGTATGAAACCAGGCAGAAAACTGCAAAAGTTGAGCCTGCACTTGAAGAACAGTTCCAGACCGGAAGATTGTTAGGTAGGTGATAAGATTTTTTTAGTAATTTGCAAATTGTTTTAAAAAGTTGTTTTGTTGCGCCATTTTTTTATGATTTATTTAGAGACAAAATGTTTTTAATGACATGACGTGATGAAAAAACTAAAGCGAGTTCATATCTAAGGACATTTTCGTATTGAAAATGTCTCGTGGGCGATGATCTGCTTGTCATAGTTACTCTGATAGTTTCCCAACTATGGACTAAATCCGTTTAAAAATAAATAACACTGTTTAAAGAAATGCCTTTTTTTTTGCAGCTTGTTTGGCGTCGAGACCTGGACAGTGCGGTAGAGCCGACGGTTATGTATTAGAGGGAAAAGAACTTGAGTTCTATATGCGTAAGATTAAATCTAAGAAAGCAAAGTAAAGTTTTTATAAAGGTGTATAATAAAGTTTGACGCCAATATAGCTTGTTTTTAATAATTGCCACCCATCCACTATCCTACCAACTCATTATTAAAAATAAATAATATATAAAAAATTTACTGTCAAATATATTCTCACTAGAATTTTTTAAATTTCGATAAGAAATGAAAAGTAATTTAGATATCTTGTATTCTTTTCAAAAAAAAGTGCTGAAAACCATATGTATAATTAATACAACGAATTTTTAATTTTTGTTAATTTTCTGTAATGTCTAACTTTTTTTAGGGAGAAAATGAATACAAATGTTTTATATTCAAATATTTCCTGAGACATTTGAACTACTTTTTCCGTCTTAAGAAATACTCCCAAAATTGTTGAATTTTTAGCTTGTCTTGTATATTTTCCTTTTATAGAATAAAAAATGCAAATATTTAAATAATCAGAGAGGAAAAATCGAGTAGAACTAAATATTATAAAAAAAGAATGTACAGCAATTTAAATGCTCTACCTTTCCAAATGAAATTACTGCGTACTGCCCGAGACATTTGAACTACTTTTTGTCTCATGCGGGAAACATTAGAAACTTCAAGATTCTGGATATTGGCTTATTACACACTGTCTTTTTGATAGAAAATACAAAATGTAGAAGTTTAACATTAAATCGAGGAAAACTAAAAAAATCCAATAGAGCTCAATCCTTTTATCAGACATACATGGTATTAGTAATATCCCTCGGGTATAGTATTTATAAAATTAAATCACTGTATATTACCCGAGACATTTGAACTACTTTTGGTTGCCTCTTCGTGAAGTAATAGAAACCCTCTAAAATTATAGAAATTATGTCATTCTGAAATAAAGCAATAAGTATTAAATATCTTTTGTAAAAAAAAAATAGAACTTAATCCTTTCATATAAACGTAGTATGTAGTATAGTATACACACGTAGTAACGTACAGTAATTAAAATACATCGCATTTGGAAATGAAATTACTGCGTACTGCCCGAGACATTTGAACTACTTTTTGAATGTTGAGAAATACTCCTAAAATTGTTGAATTTAGCATTTCTTGTATATTATTCTCCTTTTGACAGAATAAAGAGAAATGTTAATGTTTAAATACTTCAACACAGGAAAAATCTTTGTTTATAAAAAATCGAGTAGAACTAAACATATTTATAAAAAAATTAATGTACAGCAACTTAAATACTGTACCTTCCGAAATGAAATTACTACATATTGCTCGAGACATTTGAACTACTTTTTATTTGTCTGTAGAAAACATGAGAAACTTCATAATCCTAGATATCATCTTATTACACATTGACCTTTTGATAGAAAATACAAATTAAACCGAGGAAAACTAAAAAAAATGTATTACAGCTCAATCTTTTCATCCTCGCTCTTCACAAAAAAAATAGAAACCGTCTAAAAGTATGAAAATTGACATTTCCTTCTGAAATAAAGCAATGGGTGTTAAATGTTTAAAGAAATACTTTTGGTAAAAAAAAATAATACAACTTGACCCTTTCACATACATACCTACACGTAGTAACGTACAGTAATTAAAATACATCACATTTGGAAATGAAATTACTGCATATCGCCTGAGACATTTGAACTACTTTTTGAATGTCTTAAGAAATACTCCTAAAATTGTTGATTTTAGCTTATCTTGTATATTATTTTCCTTTTGATAGAATAAAGAGATGCAAATGTTTAAATATTCCAAGAGAGGAAAAATCTTTGTTTAGAAAAAATCGAGTAGAACTATAAAATATATTAAATACAGCAACTGCTGTACCTTCCGAAATGAAATTACTGCATCTTGCTCGAGATATTTGAACTACTTTTGGTTTATCTCTGTAGGGAACATGAGAAACTTCACAATTCTAGATATCGTTTTATTACACATTGTCTTTTTGATAAAAAATACAAATTATGGATGTTTAAAATTAAACCGAGGAAAACTAAAAAAAATGTAATAGAGCTCAATCTTTTTATACTCGCTCTTCACGAAAAAATAGAAACCTTCTAAAAGTATAGAAATTGACATTTCCTTCTGGAATAAAGCAATGGCGGGTGTTAAATATTTAAAGAAATACTTTTGGTAAAAAAAAATATAGAACTTAACCCTTTCATACATACACGTAGTAACGTACAGTAATTAAAATACATCGCATTTGGATATTAAATTACTGCGTATTGCCTGAGACATGTGAACTACTTTTTGAATGTCTTAAGAAATACTCCTAAAATTGTTGAATTTAGCTTTTCTTGTATAATTCCTTTTGGTAGAATCAATGAGAAATGCAAATGTTTAAATATTCCAACTCGGGAATAATCTTTGTTTAGAAAAATCTAGTAGAACTAAATATATTTATAAAAAAAATTAATGCACAGCAACTTAAATACTGTACCTTCCGAACTGCCCGAGACATTTGAACTACTTTTTGTTTGTGTCTGTAGGAAACATGAGAAACTTCACAATTCTAGATATTGTCTTATTACACATCGTACTTTTGATAGCAAAAATACAAAATATGGATGTTTAAAATTAAACCGAGGAAACCTAAAAAAATCTAATAGAGCTCAATCCGTTTATCCTCGTTTTTATCAGACATACATAGTAACATTCGCTGGAGTACAGTATTTATATAAAGTTAAATTACTGTATATTACTCGAGACATTTGAACTACCTTTGGTCTGTCTCTTAATNATAAAAAATTTACTGTCAAATATATTCTCACTAGAATTTTTTAAATTTCGATAAGAAATGAAAAGTAATTTAGATATCTTGTATTCTTTTCAAAAAAAAGTGCTGAAAACCATATGTATAATTAATACAACGAATTTTTAATTTTTGTTAATTTTCTGTAATGTCTAACTTTTTTTAGGGAGAAAATGAATACAAATGTTTTATATTCAAATATTTCCTGAGACATTTGAACTACTTTTTCCGTCTTAAGAAATACTCCCAAAATTGTTGAATTTTTAGCTTGTCTTGTATATTTTCCTTTTATAGAATAAAAAATGCAAATATTTAAATAATCAGAGAGGAAAAATCGAGTAGAACTAAATATTATAAAAAAAGAATGTACAGCAATTTAAATGCTCTACCTTTCCAAATGAAATTACTGCGTACTGCCCGAGACATTTGAACTACTTTTTGTCTCATGCGGGAAACATTAGAAACTTCAAGATTCTGGATATTGGCTTATTACACACTGTCTTTTTGATAGAAAATACAAAATGTAGAAGTTTAACATTAAATCGAGGAAAACTAAAAAAATCCAATAGAGCTCAATCCTTTTATCAGACATACATGGTATTAGTAATATCCCTCGGGTATAGTATTTATAAAATTAAATCACTGTATATTACCCGAGACATTTGAACTACTTTTGGTTGCCTCTTCGTGAAGTAATAGAAACCCTCTAAAATTATAGAAATTATGTCATTCTGAAATAAAGCAATAAGTATTAAATATCTTTTGTAAAAAAAAAATAGAACTTAATCCTTTCATATAAACGTAGTATGTAGTATAGTATACACACGTAGTAACGTACAGTAATTAAAATACATCGCATTTGGAAATGAAATTACTGCGTACTGCCCGAGACATTTGAACTACTTTTTGAATGTTGAGAAATACTCCTAAAATTGTTGAATTTAGCATTTCTTGTATATTATTCTCCTTTTGACAGAATAAAGAGAAATGTTAATGTTTAAATACTTCAACACAGGAAAAATCTTTGTTTATAAAAAATCGAGTAGAACTAAACATATTTATAAAAAAATTAATGTACAGCAACTTAAATACTGTACCTTCCGAAATGAAATTACTACATATTGCTCGAGACATTTGAACTACTTTTTATTTGTCTGTAGAAAACATGAGAAACTTCATAATCCTAGATATCATCTTATTACACATTGACCTTTTGATAGAAAATACAAATTAAACCGAGGAAAACTAAAAAAAATGTATTACAGCTCAATCTTTTCATCCTCGCTCTTCACAAAAAAAATAGAAACCGTCTAAAAGTATGAAAATTGACATTTCCTTCTGAAATAAAGCAATGGGTGTTAAATGTTTAAAGAAATACTTTTGGTAAAAAAAAATAATACAACTTGACCCTTTCACATACATACCTACACGTAGTAACGTACAGTAATTAAAATACATCACATTTGGAAATGAAATTACTGCATATCGCCTGAGACATTTGAACTACTTTTTGAATGTCTTAAGAAATACTCCTAAAATTGTTGATTTTAGCTTATCTTGTATATTATTTTCCTTTTGATAGAATAAAGAGATGCAAATGTTTAAATATTCCAAGAGAGGAAAAATCTTTGTTTAGAAAAAATCGAGTAGAACTATAAAATATATTAAATACAGCAACTGCTGTACCTTCCGAAATGAAATTACTGCATCTTGCTCGAGATATTTGAACTACTTTTGGTTTATCTCTGTAGGGAACATGAGAAACTTCACAATTCTAGATATCGTTTTATTACACATTGTCTTTTTGATAAAAAATACAAATTATGGATGTTTAAAATTAAACCGAGGAAAACTAAAAAAAATGTAATAGAGCTCAATCTTTTTATACTCGCTCTTCACGAAAAAATAGAAACCTTCTAAAAGTATAGAAATTGACATTTCCTTCTGGAATAAAGCAATGGCGGGTGTTAAATATTTAAAGAAATACTTTTGGTAAAAAAAAATATAGAACTTAACCCTTTCATACATACACGTAGTAACGTACAGTAATTAAAATACATCGCATTTGGATATTAAATTACTGCGTATTGCCTGAGACATGTGAACTACTTTTTGAATGTCTTAAGAAATACTCCTAAAATTGTTGAATTTAGCTTTTCTTGTATAATTCCTTTTGGTAGAATCAATGAGAAATGCAAATGTTTAAATATTCCAACTCGGGAATAATCTTTGTTTAGAAAAATCTAGTAGAACTAAATATATTTATAAAAAAAATTAATGCACAGCAACTTAAATACTGTACCTTCCGAACTGCCCGAGACATTTGAACTACTTTTTGTTTGTGTCTGTAGGAAACATGAGAAACTTCACAATTCTAGATATTGTCTTATTACACATCGTACTTTTGATAGCAAAAATACAAAATGTGGATGTTTAAAATTAAACCGAGGAAACCTAAAAAAATCTAATAGAGCTCAATCCGTTTATCCTCGTTTTTATCAGACATACATAGTAACATTCGCTGGAGTACAGTATTTATATAAAGTTAAATTACTGTATATTACTCAAGACATTTGAACTACCTTTGGTCTATCTCTTAATTAAATAAAAGAAACCCTCCAAAAGTATAGAAATTAATATTTTCTTTTAAAATAAAGCAATGGGTGTTAAATATTTAAAGAAATACCGTTGGTAAAAAAAATAATAGAACTTAATCCTTTCATATAAATTTATACAAACACGAAGTAATGTACTGTAATTAAAACACATCACATTTGGAAATTACTGTGTATTGCTCGAGACATTTGAACTACTTATTAACCATCTACCTGAGAAAAGCAAAAAACCCTCCTAATATGAATTTTTAAATATTAAACCTGAGGAAAATTAAAAAAAATTAGCATCTAATTCTTTTATATAAACATATATCTGAATGTAGTGTAATTAAAGTTACTGCATATCGTCCGGGACGTTTGAACTACTCTTTGTCGATGAATACCAGAAACCCCCAAAAGTTTAGAAATTAACTTACCCTGTACGTTTATCTTTCAATATAAAAAATATATACATGTTTAAAATTAAAACAAAGGGAAACTTTGGAAAAAGTATAATAGAACTCAACTCGTTTATCAAATATACATAATGACATCCATTTGAGTACAATAATTAAATTACTGCATGAGACATTTGAACTACTTTTGGTCCGTCCCCTCAAGAAAAACTACTTTAAATATTAAAATAGCAAAAATTTTTGTCAAAAGAAAAACTAATCCTTTTATATAAATAAAAATATACACAATAACGTTCACTCGTGCAGAAGCGTACAATAATTAAAATAAATCGCGTACGTAAATAAAACTACTGCATATTGTACGGCGGTGGCTGGTGATAAGGATTGGGATTCATCTGCTGCCTCTGCAGGTGCGCCACGAGGGCCGGACTGGGCTGGTTGCCCTGCGGCCCCCCCTGCTGCTGCTGCTGCTGCTGCTGCTGCTGCATGGCCAACATCTGCTGCCTCATCCTCTGCTGTTGCTGGAACTGATTCTGATTCTGCACGTTCGGCTGCATAGTCTGAGCTGCGGTACGGGAATACGGCGGAGCGGGACCCCCTTGGCCACCCATGGCTCCCATGGTGTTCATGTTCGTGTTCATCGTGACGTTGGGGGCTTGCTGCATGTAAGGGGCTCTCGGATTTTGTCCCATCTGCCGGTAATCCGGCTGCGCTGGCCTGGCCTGGCCGAATCCCTGCTGTTGCCCGGCGAACATGTTGCCCTGGGCCCCCTGCATCATCTGCTGGTTGCCCTGCATGTTGCCCTGCATCATGGTCTGAGGGTTGGCGGCGTAGTTGCTGTACTGCTGGCTCATGCCGCTCTGCATGTTGCTGTACTGCTGAGGGAACATTCCCTTTAAGAAATAGTGTATAAATAATTAAAATGTCGGTCAAATTAAAAAAATTTAAAAAAATGGGCATTGTAGCTTAATCAAATAACCATTTTTATTATTTTTTCTCATAGACACCTTTATTAATTGAGGCGTTCTTTGCAAGAACACCATATGCCAATTTTTAGATCAAATGTGTATGGATAGATGGCGCTCTATAACCTTTACTTGAAGTCGCAGTATAATATGAATCGGTGTAGTCTTAGAACGATGGTTGCCGACAACAATTTTTAAATTTATATTTTTTTGTTGATTGTGAAGAGTGGTAACAGGGATTTTGCATCAAAATGGCAATTTGGTACATTCTAAAGTCCCTAGATTGACCAAACACCTCAACCAATTGGTTTCATTTTGCCTCAAAACGGTGGTTTAACAAATGAGGTTGTCAAATCCCGTTCCCGTACTAACTTTTGGAGCAAGTTATGATTTATGATGATTTTAACAAAAAAATCGTTAATAACAGATATTTTCACTTAGTTGTTAAATGTTTACGTTTCTGAAAATTTTATATTTTTTCAAACGTGTCAGTTAATAATTGGGTAATTTTCAGAATAGAAGTATTACAAATGGGATTTCAATGACATCGCTGACTGAAATCATCACGGAATACACACAAATTCAGAAATCTATTGCAACTACACACATATGCCTGAGCACAACAACACAGTGTTGCCAATTTGTAAATAATTCTTCATTTTCAGCGATTTTTTTTTAAGACGACTTACCTATCTATTTGCCACACACTTTAATTTCAAAACGGACAAAATATCAATATGATTTACTCAGTAAATAAATAAAGCAGTTCAAAGTTTCAAAAAATTTTTTTAGTTAATTTACCTGATTCGGTTGAATCGATCCAGGATGCGGTTGCCTGATAGACTGTCTGGGGAAGCTCCTCTGCATCTGTCCATAATTGGTATTCTGAGGCGCAGAATTCGGATTGTTCTGCATTCCCGGGATGAAAGTATTAAGCGGGTGTCTCTGTCGAAGCATATTCGAGAGGGCCTGTTTCGATTGGTTGATCTGCTGGGGCGGCCTCTCGAAACGATTCACTAAAAAAGTCAAAGTAAATCATTTACTCGAGGTCTCCGAAAAATTTCTGTTAATTGCTCAAGAGTTTATAGAGAAAGTCGAAATCAGCTAGAACTTCCTATATACAGGGTGTTAGAAGATTGACTGCCTTAATTATCACAACGATAGAATACGTTAAAATAATCAAAACCTTATATGACATGGGTCCTAAACTCAACCATTTCCGAAAAAAAAATTATCAGAATCTCCAACTGCGTGCATAGAATACCAGAAAATACAATGTTTATCACTGTTTTGAACTTCTTTATGCTTAATTCTAAAATATAATTAGCGTTGCAATAAATTTATTCGATAAAGTTCATATCGAGCAATGTTACAACCGCACGGCGGTCAACACGAGGTACTAACCTGTCAGGCAATACGCAATTCAGTTGGTATCTGGAACTGGACCGTGTCTGAGTGTTTTTTGCATACCACTATTTCTTTTACTTGATTTCCAGCAAGTGCGCGAAAATTGGATTCGAAAATGGTGGCGGACATTTTGAGCATATGTTGTAGTTTGTTTTGTACTTGTGTGTTTAAAAATTACTGAATTTTGCATTTTGGTAAGTCCCTATTTTTAATACGGATGATTATTTGGACGACGTGAATCTTTGGGTATTTTAATTACATACTTTTCAAATACGTAATTTGATTAAAAGTCAAGTTCCTGTTTTAAGAGATTCATAATTACTAAAATTTGAGCTAAACTGAAGCAGTAATCAATAATGAAATACACAAAAATAAATAGTCTGTTGAAGAAAATCGTTCAAATTCACTGTTAAATGTACTGTCTACAAATGCGGAACAACTGACGTCTTTTGTATGGTCGCACTATCTCCCTTCACATGCACTGTAGATTGCCTACAATTCATGTATTTTTAATACATGAATATTACAGTGGCGACGTACACTAGAATTAAAGGGTATTTTAAAAAACTAATTATAACTCTACTGCTTATTTGATAAAAAAAAGAATTTCAGATTTGTAAAAAACTGACCACCACTTAAACTTACGCCCAGTATAAAAATAATATTTTTAGTTCGATATCAAAGATAAGTCTTTAAATACAAATTTTCGTAATATTTTCGAGAGAATACAATATATCTATCGACTTACCAGGCATAGGAGGGTAATACCCCTGCTGCGGGTTCTGGTTCTGATTGTACCACTGCTGCTGGCCGGCGTTCCCCGCGTACTGCTGCCCCTGCTGCTGCATACCCGGCGGCTGCCCGTACCCGCCCATATTGTGACCCATCTGGGGATTGTTGCCCTGCACGGGCATGGCCATGCCGGGATTACCCTGTCCCAACGGCGACTGTCCCATTGCCATCGGGTTGACGTGCATCTGACCGGGGCCCGCCTTCGGCTTACGTGGTTTTCTCCCTTTGCCGCGACCCTTACCGATCGTACCGGCAGGGCTTTGGTCCACCGACGACGGGGTGTCAGCCTTCAGGTCAATGTCCTTTAGCTGCAGGTTTACGGTGTACACAAAGCTAACAACGACTGGGGACGGTTCGGGGAGTTCGGGGACAGTGAGAGGGGTCAAGCTTTGCTTGAAGAGGCGTAAGTGCAGCGTGTCGTGGAATATATGAAAATGGGGACAGCGGTAGCCAAAGCGGAGCTTCGAAAAACTTGGTTTTGAGCAATTGTGCAGAAATTATAATTTTAAACAGCAAAAAAAAAAGAATTTATTTATTTATTGAACGTTTAACAACAATATTCTATAAATACTAAATAAAAATGAATAAATATATACTGGAAGTTGCAAACTGACATTTACGAGAAAACTAAATTTAATACTTAAAATATTCGGCAAAAAATTTTAATACTTTTAATTCCTTGAAGCTCGTGAAATTGACATTAGTCATATCAAAATACATTTAAACACTGAATACGAGGTCTATCCCAAAAGTATCCGACCTTTCTTCAAGTTTTCGCAAAGTTGCAAAAAATTTTTTTTCTTAAATAACTGAAACGTTACAGCTCTCATTGAAAAATTTTAAATGAGAAAATTGTGGGTTTTAAAAAGATCTATCGACTGATTTATGTTTACGTTTCCATATTATTTACTGTAAGCATGGCCCGTGGAAAGCCAAAAAAGTACATTTTTGAAAAATTAAAAAATAATAATTTTTCAAGACACCTACGAGAACTGCCCCCAAAAAAATATTTGTGCCTGAGAATTTTAGTGCCCTCTGCCGGGTACGAGTGTCAACTGTAAAGCTTCACGGACTTCCTAGATGGCGCAGTTTTCATCGGGACGCCTTAGTTCAGGTGCAGCGTGCGTTTGTTTACAGAGTTTTTTACATTCGTCGCATTTTGCTACTGTAACAAATGACGGAAAGATCAGAGCAACGAATTTGAGTTAAATTTTGCTTTAAACTCGAAAAGAGTTGTGTGGAGACCATCGAAATGATGAAGACGGTATTTGGGGACGAGTGTATGAGCAATACATAAATAAAAGAGTGATATAAGCAGTTTAAAGATGGCTGCACATCTGTCGATAGTAACCCACACTCTAGGCGGCTTACGACTACAAAAACACTGGATAATATCGAACGTATGTGACTTGCGATCAATGGAAATCGTCGATTGACTGTGCGAGAAGTGAAATGTGACCCTGGGATACCGAAAACTAGTGTTTGGAAGATTTTAACTGAAATTTTGCAAACATCTGCTTAAAAAGATTATAACTGGTGATGAATCGTGGGTTTATGGTTATGATCCCGAAACAAAACCATAGTCTTCGCTGCCACGACCGAAAAAAACGTGCTAAAATCAGAGCAATATCAAGTCGTCGCTAATTGTTTTTTTTTTATTATGAGGGTGTTGTGCACCACGAATATGCTCCTAAACATCAGACAATCAACAAAGAATATTATCTCGAAGTTATGAAAAGATTGCGTGATGCAATTAGAAGAAAACGGCATCAACTTTGGTCAAGCGGTGGCTGGCTTCTTCATCACGATAACGCGTCAGCGCATGCATCGAACCACGTGCAGCAATATTTGACAAAGCACAAAACCGTATAGCTTCGTCAGCCTCCGTACATTCCTGACGTAGTTCCCTGCGACTTTTGGCTGTTCCCAAGATTGAAAATGTCGCTCAAAGGATACCGATTTGACGACAAAGAAACTGTCGGAAGTAATACGACAAACACTCTAAAGGCGATACCAAAAAAACGAGTTCCAGGACTGCTTCCAAAAGTGGAAAGGCCATTGGGAACGTATTCTTCAATCAAATGAGGACTACTTCGAAGGATACTACCAGCCTGATGAGGCAGAATAACACCAACGGTGAAATATGAAGGAAGTTATAATTGTCAGTGTTGCGAGAAGCAACTACTCCGAGGGCTATATGCCCCTACCGGCACTGAATTATACTCGCAACACCTCGTGCAACAGCTAGGATCGTTCATCAGTTTAACCCACCAGACACAGACCGGTTTCAGACTTATTAGTCCTCATTAGTGTGTCATAGGTAAGACAACCGACGAACGATTCCAGCTGTTTCGCTGACGAACGATCCTAGCTGTTGCGAGTATAATTCAATGTCGGTAGGGGCATATAACCCTCGGAGTAGTTGTTTCTCGCAACACTGACAATTAAAACATTGTCTTCGCCCTCTGTGGGTGGCAGTCGTGCAACAAGTACCTGCAATATAGCAGGTCGCTTCCTACTGTAGCCATTTGATGGCACAGTTGGGAGTCAGCACGATTTTGCCATTTGTGCTCCCGCGTACAATATGAAGAAAGGTCGGATACTTTTGGGAGAGACCTCGTATACTCGAGGTTTTAGCAATGGCTGAACGAGAGCAGAGCAAAAAAATATTTTTACTTACGGGCTTGTCCGGAATGGGTTCCAAGTCCTCGGGAGGCAAAGGCGGCGGGTCCAAATAATGCGAAATGGGCCTCTGAAGATTATGTGTGTGGTATTTTAAAAGACGATGCGTGTCTTCACAAGCCAGAGGCTTCCTTTCCAACCTCACTGCCCCGAACCAGGCCCAAGACAGCGGTGCTGGGTTCTTCATGCCTTCCAAGATGTCCCAGTTGCTGACACGCTGCTTGTCGGTGACCTACATTGAAAGAATGCGCGTCAACGAATTCGAACGATTTCCTCAATCCGTTACCTGGAGATCGTGTTTTTTGTCGACGCTGTCGAAGTTGTTCTTGTTGCCTTTCCTCGAACCGGCAGGCTCGACGGCGATTATCTCGGTGGTAATCCTCGGCAAAGGCAAAAGCTGGCGGATGTGCTGTAATGATGCGTTCTGACGTTCGCCAACTTCTTTTTTCAGCTTTTTCAAGAGATTCGGGTACATTTTTCTGCTATCATCCTAATAATTGATATCAAATAATTAATATTAATAATTATTTATTAATTTACTAGTAGAATAAATATCTTTTCTACCTGCGTATCTGTGGCTTTCGCGGAGTGCACTAGAGTCGCTAACATATCGATGACGACCGTAAATAAATCGCTGTGGGTGTGCAGATCTATAAGACCGTTCGTGACGAGCTGTACTAAAAGTAGGGCCCAGTCGGTCGTGGCGGACGGGTTCCTCTGGAACGCGTCAAAAACTCCCCCGACCAAGGCAAATCGTAACTGCAAGCCGTCGAGAGTTCTCTCGTTGCTGCAAATGTCCTGCAGGTTGCCCTCTTTGGCCTGTTGTACCAGCTACAAAATTAAATATTAATAGATATGGAAAAACTGATGTTCGTTTAGTTTTTATAAAAATAGAAACACAATTAAACATAGCATACAGAATTTTTTTTTAAATAAACAACCACTTATACTTCGAATACCATTCATTCCGAAATTTCCGAACGTATATTTTGTCTTTTCACTTCCCCCTTTTTTCAACATCAAGAGAAGGTACAGGTCTCTCGCGATTTAAAAAATCCTTTTTGTCTTCAATTTTCCTTCTGGAAAATGGCGTTTCCAATAAAATACATACTGGATCATACACAGGAAATTAAAAATGATTTTAAATTGCACAACCAAATGGAAATTTTAGGTGAAGCGGTGCGCCGCTTGCGTCACCTGGCGAGCCGCCACTGATGCAGCTTCACAATACGTTTCAACCTTCAACCTGAACCCAAAAAAACATAACCTCAAATTCATCGAACCTAACCTCAAAGTTATACACTGACTTTTCTAAAACTATGGGTATAATTACGTGAAAACTATATTTTTGAACTTATATTTCCTAATTCTAAAGCCATAAACCTACATCCATAAAAACCTAATCTCAAACCCTTCAAAACTTAACCCAAACCCTCAAAACTCAACTTCAAATTCTAAAAACTTGAGCTAGAAATTCATATAATATACAGTAAGTCCCGTTTTTCAGGTTAACACCTCTGGAAATGTGAGAAGACTGTGGACTTTCCGCAACCCAATTCTTTTACAAATAGTACCCCGAAGGGAGGTTATATTCTACTAATCATTTTATTGATGTGACAAAATCCTGGCCTACTACGATTTTTTTAAATGATCGTTTTTCCAGAAAGTAGTATTAAGCATTTTTTTATCAAAAATATTATATCATCAGGCTATTCAACACCCATCAAAATTCCCAAATACCAAATTTGAATGACAAATGTCTATTGAGTGTTTTTTTATGTGGTGCCAAACTTCGAAAAATCAGACAACTAAAAATTATAATAACCAGCTCAAAGATTGCCATGAAAGTGAAAACAAATAACAATCGGACAAAGAAATAATACAGGCACTATAAATTTAAAATTTTTAATTATATTAATTAATTCTTAATTAATTATAAAAATAATAACTTACAAAAAATATAATGAATTGTAAATAGTAAGTTGTTAAACAAAAAATTATAAAACGTTAATCTAAATTAAAAAAAGAATTGGCTTGCGGAAAGTCCACAGCCTTCTCACATTTCCAGAGGTGTTAACCTGAAAAACGGGACACACTGTATATGTTCCACCCCAAAGAATACAAGTCCTTGAAAACTGTTTTCGGGAACACACATTTTTTATTTTTGAAGCCCCTAACCTCTATTCTTAAATACCTAACCTCAAATCCAAGAAATCTCAGCTAGAAAGTCAAACAAAGGATATTTTCCAAACCAAAAAATGTGATTCATTGAAAACTCTATTCTGGAGCTAATATTTTGTATTTCTTTTGATAAGACTCAATTCTGAAAAGCTATCAGGGGTGTGGATCTTTTTGGAACACCCTGTATTTGAATATCAAGACATATTAATTTATGAAAAGCATAAGCGTTTATAATAGCTAGTGCCCATATATCAATTTATCATATGTTCAATCATTTGATTAGATCTCCTAGCGAGTTTTAGATATTGGCAGTGTCATTCCTCGCCTTAAATGAAAACCATGAGAAATTCTTGTAATATTTAACACTAGATGTACCCACTCGTATTATAAACATTTTTAAGACTTTTTAAAATGCACGGTTTAAATAGAATAAATAAAAAAATAAGACTTTTTCGCTGTCAAGCATCCAAATTAACGCGTTTTTGTACTTTCACAAGTAAACGATAATTTTTTTTAAAATGTGTCTAAATTTAGTAAACGCACGGGATAACAGTAAGAAAATTATCGTAACAAAAAAATCGCAACTCACCTGCGACAACTGCTGGTGTAACGAGGACAACAGCCCCTCCCTCTGCCCCTCCTCCTGCCCCTTGAGGCAAGTCAGCACCAGCGTCAGGAAAGGCTGATGCGTCAGCAAACTGTTGTTCTCCGAACTGCACCTCCCCTTGCTCTTCTGCTCCTTACACCACCCGCCGCTCTCCAGAACCTGTCCCGCCACCTTCAGGATTCTCCCCTGCACCGCGCTCGGTAACTTAGACACCAGCGGCGCCACCAACCAAATCGAGTTCTGCTGTTTTTTGCTGTCGGTTTTCTTCTCGTCCGACCTGGGCGGGCTGCCGTACGGGGCGTTCAGCTGAAACACGTCGATGGCCGCCTTGGCCACGGTATCCAACCACTGCGAGAGCTCGGGAGAGCCCGGACTGAACTGTTTGAACATCAGCTGGAGGTCTAGCCACGACATTCTAAGCGTCCACTGTTCTAGGTTCTAGAAAGGGGTATTAGAATAATATTAAGGCGGAAATTCTCGTTCTAACCTCTAAGATTCGACTGATCATCGATTTCTGATCTAGATCGTCGATGCTGGAGCCAGCATCGGGGTAGCAGATCATGTGCAGCAGTCTTTGTGCCTGTGAATGCGACAGTAACGGGTCTAAGAGGTTGTCCATGTCGCAGAGTTCCTCGGGATGGCAGAGACACCTCTCGAGGACCCATTGCTGGGAACAAATTTCTCTCAAGACGTGGCACGCGAAGGCAGATAGAGACGCAGTACTTTCGGCATTGCCGGTGCTAGATTGCCTAGAATTAAGTCAAAATGAACTAATCATAACTCTTTACTTAGAAAAATAAGTTTTTTATATATCTCCAGTATTTAACGTATCAAAAGTTACGCCTGTAGTTCGTTTAAACACATTTTTTCCTTTTTTTTTTCATTTCAAAATCATGGGCGTTACTTTTGAGACATGCTGTGTTATTCCTCTTTATATACAGTCTACACACTTTAGAACAACCCAATTTTCACTTCTACAAAATTTTACTTGACGTCATACCAAAATACTTATATTTGTGCTACTTAACTACTTTTTAGACGTACAAGGATGTGATACACAGGGTGTTAATTAAGTATGTCGACAAACTTAGTAGTTATTCTTTGAGCTACTAAGATAAATATGGATCTGCAAATCGATAGTTTTCGAGACAGGATGCTGAAATAAAAAAAGAACACTTTTCCAAAATATTTTAAGTGACTTGCCGAGTTAAAGTTAAAAACCTATTCAATTTAAGTATATTTATGTGTACTTGTGGTAGAAATACCAGAAGTTACTTTCACTAAAAACCCCAGAAATTGCCACTGAATAATTTGAAAATTTCGTCACTACTTCTAACTCTTACGGCATTTCCGATAAAACGAACCGTTCTCAATGGAGTGTTTGCATCAAAAAAATCTGTAGTGTTTTGTCATTGAATACTATTCTACACTGAAAATTAATTTAAATTGTACAAGCAATTTCGCTAACAAGACCTTACACAAATTTGTGTTTGTGTAACTCCTCTCAGTCTCTCTGTTCTTAATAGGCTATTATTTCCAAAAAAAAACAGGGTTAAAAGGACGTTCAAGCAATTTTATTGCATCAATCGTTCAAAGGGTCATTTTAGATGAAAAAAATGCGGAGTGCTATTAAATTAGAGGGTGGACATTGAAGATAAGGGTGAAAATGCACCTCTTTCAGTTTTTTAATTGTAACTCGAAAACGAAGCAAAATTTCTGTATAGTTCATAGGAAAAATTATTTAGAGAATTGAATTTTCCATTGAAATGGCTTATTTAAGAAATTTAAAAGGAAAATTTTATGCAAAAAATCGTTAATTTGGAAAAAAAGCAAAAATTCGATTTATTTTTTTTTACTTTTTTGCCTCTATTTTTTTTTTGGGTAAAGACAGGTATAGGCATTGCTTCATAAAAAAAAAGTAGATATAATTTCCTTCAAAACAAGAGGTAGTAAAGTATTTTTGGATGAAAATTGACTGCCGTTCAAACTTTGCAAATTTTCGTCGCGTTTACCCTTACCTATAAGTTTTAATTCTCATTTTTTGCAAAAAAGGAAGGAAATAAGACAATCAAGAATTTTCAGCACATGACTTCTTCGAAGGGTCATTAAAAATGAAAAACTGCGTGATGCTATTAAATTAGAGGGTTGAAATTGAAGATAGGGGTGAAAATGCACTTTTGCAGTTTTTTAAATATAGCACGAAAACAAAGCAAAATTTCTGTATAGTTCATAGGAAAAATTTTGTAGAGAATTGATTTTCCCATCGAAATGGCTTATTTAAAAAATTTAAAAGAACAATTTTATGCAAAAAGTCGTTAATAAACAATTTTAAAAAAAGCAACGATTTTTTGCATAAAATATTTCTTTTAAATTTTTTAAATAAGTCATTTCTATGGGAAATTCATTTCTCTACAAAATTTTTCCTTTGAACTATACCAAAATTTGTTTCGTTTTCGTGCTGAATTTAAAAAATATATATCAGTCAATTTTCATCCAAAAATATTTTACAACCTCTTGTTTTGAATTTTATCTACTCTTTTTTTATAAAGCAATGCCTATAAAAGTAAAAAAAAAAAATATCGAATTTTTTGCGTTTTTCCTTATTGTTTATTAACGATTTTTTGCATAAATTTTTCCTTTTTAATTTCTTAAATAAGCCATTTTGATGGGAAATTAATTTCTTTAAATAATTTTTCTTATGAACTATACCGAATTTTTGCTTCGTTTTCGAGCTACAATTAAAAAACTGAAAGGTGCAATTTCACCCTTATCTCAAATTTCCACCCTCCAATTTAATAGCACTCCGCGGTTTTTTCATCTATAATGGCCATTTGAACGATTCATGTAATAAAATATCTTAAACGTCATAGTTTGTTTTAAAATCCTATAATCAATAGCCAATAATAAAATAGCAGTAGTATGAGATTTTAGTTAAGCTTCCTATTAACAGATGGCACAAATAAGGCGTAGTCTAACACATTACAGCTGTTCACCAACTTCGTTTCACTTTAACATTTAATGATAAGAAAAGTTGGAAAAATTGATAGGCATAAAAATGCAAAAATATTGATTTTGTGTCGATTTTTTATGATTAGTTTGTATTTAATAAATCGAAAATGGCTGGTGAATAAAATGAATGATTTTTTGTTGGAAACACCACAAGAATTTCTGGGAGATTCATTCAGTGAGAGCAACTCCAAGTATTTCTGTCACTGAAACAGTATTTATATCCAAATTCAGTGAATTTTTATATTTAATTAGGTAACTGATTAAATATTTAAGAAAAAGTCAACAATCTTTTTTTTGGCTAAAAATGACTCGAAGAATAATGTTTGTCGACATACTTAATTAACACCCTGTATAAATGTAAAAAGTGCAAAAATCACCATATCCTCTTAATCGCAACATGTTACAAAGATTTTACTTACATAAAACCAAATTGGAAATGAAAATTGAACCTTCTTATACACTATCATCTCAATTAAACGTTATAAAAAATTAATAGTTAAAAACTTTTTAACCAGAGGTCAGAATAATTTAAAAGGTAGTGCAGAAATGTTTCTGTTGTTAACACATTTAAGTTAGATGATATTGTATTGCATTTTTTCATAAAAATAATCTTTTTGTCGCTAATATGAACCGTGACGAATACAAGCAAATCGTACTGACAGAGTCCCACAAGAATGACCATTTCCAAATATAACCAACTTTCTTAATTAACGTGCAGTGGAACAAATATTTTAACATTATCATCTTGGCAGTGGTTTGGATTACAATAACTCTGTTTCAGCACGTTATGCTTGTATCGGAAAGTACATGGAATATTAAAAAAAAACACACAGAAAAACCTCTCCCTCCACTAAACATCGAATAACATTTGTACACAATATCTCAACAGCTTAAAAAAATATATGAATACATTGAGGGGAAAACAATTTGTTTTCGAAGACAATTGTTAAAATCAAAAATTTTCTTGACGTAACACAACATTTAATTATTAGTAAATGTATTAACACGTAAGGATCAATTTGATGAATTCTGCACCCTTGTGAACATAATTAAATTTAGGGGAATTAGAGAATCACGTGAATCAAAATTTTGTACAGGAAAAAGACGTTTCACGATAGTAATAATTGTAGATAAGTGACAGTTTTTTAAAAAAACAGGGTCTTTATTAAATTTGGAAGAAATAAAAAAAACATTTTTCAATAAACTCAACAAAATTAATGACAAACTTTTTTTTTGAATTGTGAAATTCTTCAGTAACTGGATTGAAAATTTTCAGTGTTTAGCACAAAAAAGATGCAAGAGAGGACAAGTTTCTCCTTCAACCACAAAGTAAATGTAATGTTCGTTTCAGGAAAGTACAGGGTTAGAAGTTTGACTGTCTTAATTTTAACAGACGATAGAATACATTAAAATAAACAAAAAAAACCTTATTTCTGAGAAAAAATTATCAAAATCTCCAACTTGATGTACAAAAGTTTATCACTTTTTTTAACTTCTTTACGCTTAATTATAAAAAATAATTAGCGTTGTAATAAATTTAAAATTTGATAAAATTCATATCGAACAATGTAACCACAGCGCGGCGATTTATTAACACAAGGTACTAAGGTGTCCAGCAACCACCAATAGGCAATTCAGTTGGTATCTGGATTCGACTGTGTCGGAGTGTTTTTTGCGTACCTACCACTATTTCCTTTTCCTCCTGGAGATTTTGAGCATATGTTGTAGATCGTTTTGTACTGGTGCGTTTCAAAATTACTGAATTTTGCTTTTTGGTAAGCAACTAAATTATTTTTAATACAAATGATTATTTGGACGACATGAATCTTTGGGTACTTTAATTACATACTTTTTAAATATGTAATTTGATTAAAAGTTAAGTTCCTGTTTTAAGAGATTCATAATTACTAAAATTCGAGATAAAATTTAAGCTCAACACTATCATCGTACTACAAAATAGATCAATTTTATTTTATTCATTTAAAAACTGGAAAACAATTGTCTTGATATTTACTAAATGTTTCACAATAATAATTGTTTACATTTTTTCAGTAGGACAAGTCTGCCGCGTGTACACGTGCATCAGCAGGTTAAGCGATGTTGTCATGTTGTGATGAAATTCCCCAATATTAATACTCGCTGTATTTTGAAAACTGTTAATCTTACGCCCCGTAATATACAACTTTTTTGTTCATTTATCTCATGCTGAAGTAATGGCAGTCAAACTTCTTACACCCTGTATATGCAATTTTTTAAATATTTTTGCTGAAGGAATTAGTTAATTTAAATCTTATTTTGATTTGAAGTTTTATTTTATGGATAAGACTAAACAAAAAAATTAAGAAAATCGCAATTTTTTTAGATAGGATTCTATGAACTCAAACTGCTAGAGGTCGCTACGGTCTCTTTTATAAAAGATGGAAACCATAATTGCTGCATTAAGCGATCTGTCACCAATTAGATGATTTTTTTTTGCAAAAAGTACTTGTAAAAGTAATTTTTAGACCAATTAAAACCATATTATTTGAGTTTTGATAACTAGAACCTAATTTATATTTTATGGGCCTGATGGTATTTGCCAAAATGTGCTTTTCATGCGAAGTATGTGGAATTTTTGGCAGGTAAAAAACATTAACTCCACCTGCAATACTGATAAATAGTTACCCTAAAAAAAATATGTAAGGACTTCAAGTTAAAAGTAAATGCATCACAATTTAAAAACTGATATTGTCTGCGTTTTTTTAATATTTACTTTATTTTGAGATGGAAGTTTAAATTCTACAAAATAAACAGATTCTATTAAAATTTGACTGAACAATAATTCCCATGTTTTTTTTTTAAATCTACGAATTAATTTCAATTTTGGTGATTAAAATTACTCCAATTTCTCCAAAATTAAAAAAATACCAGAATATTTAACTAAACTTATTTTGTATTCCAACGAACAAAAGATTACTTGAATTTTTTTTTTTATAGAATTGTAATAAAGAAAACTCGTTACATTTGAGATTTTCAAAAATGTCATGATTATAGAAGTTCTGACATACCCAGATCTATGAAATTCCTGATAAAGTCAGATACAAAAAAAAACAATGACAAAATATAACAAAATCGATAACACAAACAAAGAAGCAAAACAATCAATAACAACATTATGTCGTTCCATATTTCTCTGACGTTTTCGATGTTAAGGAGTTGATAGTTTCTCATTTGTTTACCCAAAAGGCACAATTTTTTATTGTTTATCACTGCTTTATTTTAATTGTGCATCTCAATTAATAACAGACATTTCAAGTAGACATTCGTTAATCTAACTGGCACACTCTACAAAGTGCTATAAATTTTGAGGATAAAAATGTTCTCTCTTACACCCCAAGTAAATCTCTGAAATTCAATTTTCATATAAAATTTTTTTGTCTAAGCAAAACAGAAAATTCAACAAAATTAGGTTGGCTGTTCATGAATAAACTTTGGAGTGCCCCGAAATATATAAAAAAAGCAAAATTTACAATTTTAGTGGCCGACGAAAGTTCATGGATAAGTTGTGATGTTATTTCAAACGCCCTGTACATGATTCTTCTAAAACCTTATTGGAATTTTTCAAGGAACGATCTAGGACTATTTACACTTAATTCTTTACAAAAATTAGTAACACAGTAAGGGTGGATGGACTAGAGAACCCCCTAAACTTTTAAGTAAGTGTGTTCGTGTGTGTACATGTGTGTGTGTGTATGTGTGAAGCAGTAGCGACCGGGATAGAGACAAACAATAAGATGTGCAAGCATAGGGGTGACACAATCAAAGCGAAGCTCATGATTATTATTATATATTATTATTATTATTATTATTATTATGATCATATCGACAAACCTATGCGTTGTCCTCGATCCGCACACATCCACGTTTATCCCCTGACGGAACAGAAAAATAACCAAATTCAACTTAAAATCTTCTTCGTTAACAAACGTTATCTACTCTCAGTACAAATGATGCAAAAGAAAATCCAACTGATTAAGTGAAAACCTAGGAGAACTGACGCAGCTTCGATTCTCATTCTGTAGTGCTCAAAAGCTATTCGACTTTGTAGCTACTGAGGTAGGTCGTTTTGTGAAATATAACCTATAAAGTACATGTCATACGTCAAATGTCACTGCTATTCAATGCCTACTGGATCAAAGCATTACCTTATACATACCTACTGAGGTAGGTCGTTTTGTGAAAAATAACCTATAGGTACATGTCATACGTCAAATGTCACTGTTATTCAATGCCTACTGGTTGAAAACATTACTTTGTAGCTACTGAGGTAGGTTGTTTTGTGAAATATAACCTATAAAGTACATGTCATATGTCAAATGTCACTGCTATTCAACGCCTACTGGTTAAAAAATTTCTTTGTAACTACTGAAGTAGGTCATTTTGTGAAATATAACCTATAAAGTACATGTCATATGTTAAATGTCACTGCTATTCAACGCCTACTGTCTGAAAACATTTCTTTGTAACCACTGAAGTAGGTCGTTTTGTGAAATATAACCTATAAATTACATATCATACGTCAAATGTCACGGCTATTCAACTCCTACTGGCTCAAAGCATTACTTTGTACCTACTGAGGTAGGTCGTTTTGTGAAATATAACCTATAAAGTACATGTCATACGTCAAATGTCACTGCTATTCAACGCCTACTGCTTAAAAACATTTCTTTGTAACTATTGAAGTAGGTCATTTTGTGAAATATAACCTATAAAGTACATGTCACATATTAAATGTCACTGCTATTCAACGCCTACTGGCTCAAAGCATTACTTTGTACCTACTGAGGTAGGTCGTTTTGTGAAAAATAACCTATAAAGTACATGTCATACGTCAAATGTCACTGCTATTCAACGCCTACTGGTTGAAAACATTACTTTGTAGCTACTGAAGTAGGTCGTTTTGTGAAATATAACCTATAAAGTACATGACACATATTAAATGTCAATGCTATTAAATGCCTACTGGTTAAAAACATTTCTTTGTTACTACTGAAGTAGGTCGTTTTGTGAGACATAACCTATAAAGTATGTCATATGTTAAATGTCAATGCTAATGCATTACATTGTACCTACTGGCAAAACGATGTTTAATGGTTTGACCTATTTTTTTTTAGTTCATAAGGAAAAAAGTATGACCACTTTTTTTCTCATTTTAAAAAAGAAACAAAGTACAAAATGTCAAGAAAAGCAAAACAATACAACTCTACATAATTCGAATGAAAATCCAAGCACGCTCAGTCGACCTACAAAAATGAATCCACCAAAACTCAACGACTCACGGTAAATCCAAACTAGGCCCATCCGCACCGCTATGCAGGTCGCTGGTCCCCAGGATGTTACTCAAGCTCAATTCCGTCCCTTCCTTCGCGGTAGCATCTCCGACGATCAACACGGCCTTCAATACCGCTAGAACGGGACCTACGTGGATATTCCTATGCGCGGCGGCCAAGAGATGGCGATCACAACTCAATCGTACCCCTAACGGGGGCCTGGGGGCCGTTAGTGGCGGCGACCCTACGGAATAAAGTCCCGGTTGGGGGCCTTCGGCCGTTCGAAATAAACGCAGCAGTAGATGGCAGGTCAGTCTCATTCCCGCTTCCGCTCGTCCTTCGCTGTTATCCAGGGACTTTACCTGCATGTAAAAGTAGTTTTGAAAGGAAGCGGCGGGAGATTTCGGAGGACTTACCTTGAGGAGGCTAGGCAAGGCGACCCTGCCGACGAAGTCTTCCAGGGAGAAACAGTGCCTCGCTATGAGGATACAGGTGAATACTGCTAAGGCATTATGAATACTAACGTCCTACAGAAAAAACATGAATATTACGAACTGAGGTTGAAAAATTAAATGTCGAAAAAAAGAAACGGCTGTTTTTCCCAGAAAATTTGGAAAAAGTAGAAAATTAAGATATTGTTTATTTTTTCTGGGTTCAATAAATTATTACAATTTACCGTTTGTTAATTTATGCTTGAGCATTAATAGTTTACATTAATTCAAGTTAATATTGTTCAAATTGTTTGTTTCTTAAATTTTTCCAATTTTTATTTTAAAAAAAAAGCTTTTCATGTTATTTTAGTTTTCTTCCAAATTTTTAAATCTCTAAAAAGTTACAGTGTTTCAAATTTAGAAAAAATTGATGAACTGAAAAAAAATGGCGGAAAAGTTTTTAATAAAAAAAGGTATGGTGAAAAATTTTCTATTAAAAAAATTATTTCCCAGTTTATAACCGTTAATTATCAAAAAGTGTGTTTAGAACATGTACTGTTATTTTTATGAGCAGAATAATATTTTTTTTCTCCTAATTTCTGAACACCCTGTACGTACGGCCCCCTACCTGTATGTCAAGTTGATTCAGGACATCGGCATAATAACCAGGGTGCGACAAAGGGCTGCAAAGAGCCAGGAGGACCCCCAACCACTCGGAGGCCAACGAATTGCAGCACGCCGTCATTTCGGCGCACATAATCGCCAGATCGTTCAGTCTTTCATTGTCCGTCTCTCGTCCGACGTGTATCACAGCATTGCTTACAAAGGAATACCTTCGAAAAGAAACGTCTTTTGTCATTATACCAAAAAATAAACTACGCACCATGTACAATGTAACAACGGCGCGGCAGTTTATTAACACGAGCTGTCCAGCAACCACCAATTCGTGGTATCTGGATTCGACCGTGGCGGAGTGTTTTTTGTGTACCACTATTTCCTTTTCTTGAGGCGTTTTCAAGCGAGTTCGTGAAAATTGGATTCGAAGGTGTTGATGTTAAAAATACACATTTTAAAGACAAAAGACAGAATCATATTAAAAAAAATAAAGCTGAACGTAAACCAAAAAGAAACATTTCCAAAAATATAGAATAAAATATCCAGATGTCTTTATTTTGGACACCGTGCGCATAAAAAAAGTAATAAATGAATAAAAAAGCACCTGTTATTTCCGTTCTCATTCAACTGCTTGGCCAGCACGCTATCGATCCTGCCCGCCCTCTTGGGACTCAAAAACAACTCCTGCATGTACTGGGCGTTATACAAATAGCTGTTGCTCGGCGTGGGTTGCAGGGCGGTGTACAGGGCCTGTTTTATTTTGGGATAAGCGTTCCCGAAGGGTTCGACGGTGTGCGGCTTGGATTTCAACAGGCTACACGACGAATACAGGTCGTACAGGTGGGCTAGGATGCAACGCTCTGCCGAGCTGCAGTCGCCGGGGTTGGAGACGTGCTTCACGACTTTGCAGAGGCCCTCGAAAACGGCAGAGGTTTGTTCGGGAGATACTGTAATTCAGTATATCGGATTAATTGTAAGTACATGTTTTTTATTTAAAAAGTATATAAAACTAGAGTTCAAATATTGAGGTTGACTATTTTTTATATTACAAAGAATAGAAAATATAGACATTTTTATTCGAATATATCATTTTAAAACATGGGACAAAAATTATAAGAATTTATAATATTTATAACAAGAACTTGGGCACAGGAAAACCAACAGCAATAAAGTAAAAATAAGTTCAATGGATAAATCCATTTGTTAGAATTATTACAAAATTAATAATTATTAAAAAAATAAACAGAAGTGTTTTGTTTATGAATGTGAAGCTCTTCAAACATCTAATGTTTCCTGAAGAGATAAAAAAAAATCGTAATCAGTTACGACACTCTAATTTGAAATACCCTGTATTTCCCCAAGAAACACAAACTTCTGTGTTTCCAAAAAAATACTTTTAAGAGTCCGTTCTTTGTATACTCCTTAGTATCGTTGTAGGGTCGGGTGTACGGGTGTTACAGTTGGAGGCGGAAACTATCGCTTTCCCACTACGATGATTTTACGGTGGACGTATTTAGAATATTCAGATTGATTTGGTCGATAGCCGCACGGTTTAAGGCGTCAGTACTTAAATCGATGTGTCGGACTGCCCGGGTTTCGAATCCCGCGGCCGGTGACCGTAGATTATCTATACTTGTACGGAGGATTGGCGCCCTCTGTGCAGGTATGGTAGGGTGGAAGAATGTTGGCTTGGGTCAATGTGAGAGATTGACACCAGTTGGCATTTGACCACCCCCCTAATTAATGAGGTTTTCCAGGTTTTCCTCATTCCTGCACTGAATGGTGGTTAGGGCCTACCAACATAAGTCGTTCCTGGGCGCAAATGCGGCCTGCGTAATAATAATATGCCGCCTCCTCTCCCGCACAAGTCTCTGACTTCTGGGCTAATTCTCGTAATTAGAATGAGGAGTAGAGATATTATTATTATTATTATTATTATTTGAACGAGCCATTAATGTTACAATTTTTACTTCAATAATTGTATTTGAATTGATACAACTATTGTGCCGTTAGTGTCAAAGTTACACAAACAATTTTTGTCGCCACGCAAAATTGATTGACTGACATCCTACAGTCATCAGTTTCATTTTCTAATGCTCCTCTTTTTATTTTTGCTTTTATGTAACACTGCAGTCACTGTCCCAGCTAAAATTATGCATGTTTTTTATCTTTCTAAAATATTTTAAATTTTATTCGTCTAGAATTGAATTGTATGTAAAATTGTAACATTAGTGGCAGTGGCGACTCGTGACATTGTGAATAGGTGAGGCTCGTGGCATTTTTACTAGATGGGCACGAAAGAAAAAAAAAAATGCGTCGCAGGCAAAAATTTTTAAATTTTCAACGTCAAACGACTAAATGCATCTGGAAATGTTTAGTTGCATTTATAATATTATAGAAAAACTGATGTTCACGAGCAGGATATTCACTCAAATTTTATAAAAAATAATATACAACTATTTGGATACTTTATTAATCCGTTCTCAAATAATAAATAGGAATAGATTTCCATGTCATTTTTTATTATGGAGGTCTTCGCCAATAGCCCTACTATAACCGTAAATTAAAAAATTATATTATTAATAATATCAGAACTCTAAAAATTGTATTTACAATAAAATTAAGTAACAGAAAACAAAACAAAGTGATGTATTTACCTAATAATTAACAAAATTGTTCCTACCTTGTTTATGAATATTAAAAAATACGAAAAAATATAAAAACAAATTTTCATAAGGTAGCCAGCCAACTTATCTATTTACATATAAAACAACGCCACGAGCTTTTCGTTTGCCTCCACTTTTAACAAAATATTTTAAAAACATAGTGAATGTTTTTATAAAACACGTTTATTCGTCCGTCTTTTAAATTTGATAATTTACATATAATCTCTTCATAAAATTGGGAATCGGCACTAAGACTTTGCAACAGTTCTGTTTCTATCGCCATCACTGATAAATTGTTTAAGCGCTCTTGTGTCATCGTATTTCTTAAATAGTATCTAAGACTTAATGGGCTTAAAACAAAAAAAGTTTCTTTCTACTGAGACACTTGTTGCAGGAATTGTTAAAACTGGGTAAAACAAGTTGTATGTTTCCGAAAATACCATTTCAAATTCCTTGCATAATATATAATATTTCTATCGCTTTTTGAACTTCTAAATTACGAAATTTCTGTCTTTGTACAAAATATTAAGTTCGTTTTTCAACCTATCTATTTCAAAAACGTTTGGATACATTTGTAATAAACATTTAAACAATTTTTCAGGAAATTTGTTTGTCTGTACTATGCGACACATACATTAATCACGACAGCGCGAATTGAAACAGTAAAACTGTAAGCGGTTTTGAACCAAAAATATATTTGAACAACGTCAACAAATGAGTTTATTGTAAAACCTTTGAAATATAAAAGGACCACGCACTAATTCTTTTGAAACGTGGTCTCGATCAAAATTGGGAATTGCTGTGAATACGAGTTATTTTTGGCCTAAAGTTCCGATCATAAAAACTTCGGCAGACGGTTTGTTTGTCTGTTTTTGGCCATTTTTACATCTTTCTTTAGCATTTCAGACATGTGTAAGTGAAGTAAAAACGCAATAGGGATAGCGATGTCACCAATCATTTTTTTTTTCAAACCGTCCAAGAAAACCCAGTTTTCACAAAAATGGTGTCGCTATTAAAAAAAAATGGAAGGTGACTTTCGAATGACCTTGAAAATGACCCTTTTCTGACAAATCTATACTTTTGCGATAAACATACAAGGTGTCCCAAACACTGGGTTTACTTTGCCGTTTTGAAAAAAAAAAATAAAATGATTTAAAAATTCTATTAAAAGTATTTTTTAATGATTAACGAACTGATATCAAAAAAATATGTTATACTGAAAATTAATGTTATTAAACACTTTTTTCTTTTCTTTGTGATTGTGATAAAACTATCACAGTCTTAAAGTTCATGCATAGGGTGATTAGTTCTCCACTGTAGTAGCACAACTTTTACGTATTTTATTACCTACACAGATAATGTGGCATTTTGTTCCATGAAACGAAATTTCTAACTCAAATAACAATTATTCTCAAGACTTTTTTATAAAATAAAAAAAAATTACTTACACAGGAGGCAGCAGTGGTATCTCCTCAGCACGCCGACCACATACAAGCTCAAAGAAGTGGTGTAGTTCCTGCTTAGAACGGAGTTCTTATTGTACAACTGAGTTTCGACTTCCGGCAGCTCCTTCAAAATCTGTATGCAGACGTCGATCAACCCGTAGATATTCAAAGCCAACTCCATCAGATCAAAGAGAAAGGCGACGTGCTCCTGCACGGGCAAGTAATTTGAATTTCCGGTGGCGAAGGAATTCAACATCTCTATGACCGTAACGCTGCACTGCCACGTCACCACATGCTGGTCGAAATAGCTCAAACTCTGACACTTCTGCGTGGTCGCCTCGAAGTTGAACTCGTTCCTGGAATGTTTCTTCACCTTCCCGCCTTCCGCGACGTCCACGCTGAATTTCTTGGAGAACAGCTTGCAGATCTCCTTCGACATCTTCTTCACGGTGTGTCGGGCTTCGTCCCTGATCTTACCCACTCCGTACAGTAAAACGTGGCGCTGGTTGCAGTCGTGTTGCGCGAACGGATCGTCTTGGCATAACGGAAAGTGGGTGGTGTACAGTAAGTGTCTTGACGGTTTCACCTTGTACTCGTTGTGGTCCGTTTCCATGGGAACGTGACCCATGGAGGAAGGGACGTGTGAATGGTGCCCGTGGTCGTGCTCCTTGGGACTGTCGGGCACGTCCATGGAGTTCTGTTGGTCCTCTTTTATATTCTGGAGGATTTTGTCCAGGTCGTGGTCTATGTTGGCGTCGTCGTAGTCCATTGGCTATAAAAGACATTCTAATCTTACAATTGCACGTTTTCGTATATACAGTCGTTAGTATAGACAGATATTCATCCTGGAAGTTGGCTATTGGATGTCTATCTATCGACATGTTTTGAGTGTGGGTGAGATACAACCTACAAAGTTAATGTCATATCTTAAATGTCATTGATACGCAATGCCTACTCGCACAAAGCATTACTTTGCACCTACAGGCGTAGGTGGCTACGTAAAATATAACCTACATAGCAAATACATCTTTAATGCCTACTGGCACAAACCGTTGCTTTGTACCTACAGGCAGAGTGACCTACCAATGTGTAGGTATTATGAAAGCATGGTTAGTGGGACAGTGGACAAAATTCCAGCAAATAATCTTGAATATTTACATGGGTGTGGGGAGCAGGGGTGTGCACGGCCCACCCCCGGAAGCCTGGTGCCCACCCCAGAGAAAAAGATCTAATATTATCGTCTATCACATCAGCACAGATTTTGTGGAATTAATACTTTTTACATTTGACCATATACTGATTATTAATATTGCTATTCCAATTAGTTTCTAAAATTAGAGTTATCTAGAAAACTGCTCACTATTTTTGAAAAAAGAGAACGTATAAGGGTCATAAAAAAGCTCTGGAAAAAAAGTCCTGGAAAAAAACTCAAAACTCCGGGGAAAAGGTCTGGGGAAAAATCGGGGAAAAGAGTCCGGAGAAAGAGCCTGGATAAAAACTCTGGGCAAAAACTCCGGGAAAAATCTCCGGTACTTGGTAGCTGATTTCCAAATCGTATCACCTCTCAGATAAAAAATAGTTGTCATTATTGCTTAAAAGAGAAAAAAGTTATGAACGGATATTATCACCACATCAATATTGTAGGACTTGTAGGTTTTAAAAAACACTGTGTATAACACCAAATTGTGTACATTGAAAGCAAAAGTCCACACTGTTCATATTCCACAGTTGTAACTGTTCATATTTTGTAAAATTTAATTATAAACATTTTTTTCCTCTTCCATTTTCGCCTAAAATCAACTCATGAAAAGATACATAATTAAATAGGAAGAAAAATATGACATTTTTCGAATTTTTTTAACATATTGTGCCGCCAAAAGTTAAGCCCACGTTTTTTTTATACGCATAGAAAATTTTTCATTTTTACTGATATTTGAAAGCTAAAAAGCCAAAAATCTCCGTGGATATACGATTCACCCAAACCAAAACAGATACCGCCTAGTCTATAAAGCAACATTAATTTTTTTTATAGTGCCTACAGATTAGTAAGTCATTCTGCCAGTAGGTACAAAGTAATGTATAAGTAGGCATTCAGTAGCAGTGACATATACTTTATAGGTTATAACACAGTAGGTATAATGACACATTTGACATTTAAGATAAGACATGCTTTGTAGGTTATATTGTATAAAGCGACCTACCTAGTAGGTACAAAGCAAAGCTTTATGCCAGTAGGCATTAAGTAAATTTGACAATTTAGGTATGGCATATTTTGTGGATTATGTCACATTCCCAAAATCTTTCTGTTCATAATTTTCGAACGGAAGAACCGATTGAAATAAATCAAGTACTAATAGAAAGCCGAAAGGGAACCATATTTGACTGAATACAAGCGAACTTAGTAATTCTAAAACTGTGAATGTGGGAGGAAGAGAAAACCTGAAATAGGTGCTTCGATCAACTTTGGTGAGTTACAGCTCATCAATCAGAAATTCCAAAGAACTAAAAAAAAATCACAATAGACTGATCTTGAGGAAACATACCTAATATGCTAAATACTATATTGACCTGTATTAAAATCATAGATATAGCTCAAAATTCATGTAATTTTGACCTTGGTCTCAAAAAAGCATCTCCAACTGCGACTGTAAACCAACTAAACTTGAATAGACTTCCTGCTTATTTTCATTTTAACATCGTGGAATATATCATAACTAAGATATTCAATCTTACCTCCATTTTGGTGTGGTGATTGGAGATATTGTCCGTAGTTTCTTCGGGGCCCAAAAGATCGCCCCTGGAGATCAACGTGCACATATAAGCGTCGTGCGAAAACACGTCTCGTCGAATCAGCTCGGAAAAAAGATGTACTAAATTTGAGAAGGCCGTCTTTTTCTAAAAAAAAAAAGGTTCTATTAACCGACAAGGTAAAATTTAATAAATCCACTACCATGATGCAATCGTCTGGGGCGGGCACGGGAGCGTCGTGATCTAAAAACTTCATAAGCAGGGACTGAAACATCGGGGGCCCACCAGGTACGGAACTATTCGAGTCTTTATCGTCGCCTGGCGCGGTTTCTTGATCGGTCGAATTATTACCGTCCGACTGTCTTCTGTCTAACAGGGCAGCCACTGCGAGCGCCCTATGCTCCCCGGTTCTCTCCGGGGACACCGCCCACTCGCACAGGAGTTTAACCACTGCGTTTTCTTGATCTGGATTTCCACTAAACACCTAAAAAATTTTTTAAATAAATCGTCGAAAATTTTTCGTGTTCCCTTACCTTTGTATACAGAGTATCCAAGGAGTTAGCGGCATCCATCTTATCGAATCGATGTCGATCCAAAGCGTCCAGGGCAGCTAAAACCCTGGTCGTTACGGTACCTGGAACGAATTTAAACAATCGCGTGCCTAAACTAATCGTTCCGCTATAATCACCGGTAGAAGACGCCTGCCATTTGTCCGTACACCAACGGCCTTCCGCTTTTTTGCTCCTCTCTCGGATACAGTTCTCCGCCTGAATTATTTGCTTGCGGTAACTGGTCATATCGCAGCGAGCGGGAACAGGTAGCATAGACGGGAGGATCGGCAGGTTGTCTAAGGGAGAGCCGTGCCAGATCGTTCCTACGCCTGTACCGCACCAAACTAAGGCAGTGGGACATTCCAGGTTTATAGTTTGGATGATGGTGCTCAGCTGCAAAACTAATACAAAAAACGTGCAACTGTAAGAGGGGCTTACACCTCTATTGATGTCACTGTCTTTCTACAGACACCATACTTAGTATAGTCATTAAAGTTGGAAATCAGCTGTAACCTCCAATTTCTTTGGAACTGCATGGATTTGCATGAAAATTTAGAATAAGGCTCATCTTAGGCTCAAGTTCAAAAGTGACATAAGCCCGATTGACGCTTTTTGTTTTTTTAGGGGTAAAAGTACCGCTAAGTGAAACAAAGTGAAAAAATTAAGTTTTAAGCATTTTATTGACAAAAATCTTGTTCAAGCATAAAGATTAAATAATGTTCCATGTTCTCAAACATGTTTTATGATATATTTGATCTTTTCGACCCTTTATTTAACCCTTAAAAACTACCCTTATGCAAAAAATAATGATAAAAAATTACTTTTTAAAGATTTGGAATGATTAAATCGTGCAATTATTTAAAATAAAAGTTACCTTATACCTAATAAAAGAATTTTTCCCTTTCAACCCCTAAAAACCACCCCTGTATGGGCAAAAATGATAAAAAATTACTTTTTAAAAGCTTAGAATGCTTTAACGGTGCAATTATTTAAAATAAAAATTCCCTCACTGCTTATGAAAGAATTTGTATCTCATAACATTTTTCAACCCTTATAAATCACCCCTGTGCTAAAAAATTACGTTTTAAATCTTGAAATGCTATAATTGTGCAAGAATTTAAAATAAAAATTCCCTTATATTGTTTATGAAAGAATATTTTACTTTTGCCATTTTCAACTCTTATAAACTACCCTTTTGCCAATATTAATGTAAAATATTTTTATTATAATCGATTTTTAAATATAATCGATCATATAAAAAAAATTGCTACGCTGCATATAAATAATCACACTAAATTTTTTTACTTATTTTATTTGTATAATATATAAAAATGTGGAAGCCTATTTTCCTCCGAAAAAATGTCATTGGTTTTTTTACCATAACTCGGTTAATTTTGAAGCTATAGTATTCTACAAAAAAAAACATTTTAAAGATAATTTCAAGAGCTGTAAGATTGTTTGCATATAAAACCTTTTAAGCCCTTCGTTTTTTAAAGGGAAAGGATCGAAGGGCTCGAGCAGGTCATTTTTTTACTAAAATGGATACTCCAAGCGGCGATATCGCCTTTATTTTTTATGCTATAGGAATAAAAAAAAGCAAAATATTTGTTGAAAAAAAAGCTACATTTTTGTTGTCTATCATTTGTTACGTATCTTTCATAGTTTCAGAGTTATTATATAAATAAGGCAATTTTTTTGAATAATGAAAAATATGTTTTCAACTTTTACCGTACATTATTAAAAAAATATGCATTCTAAACCGGTCCAACTTCAGGATCCTCTGAAAAACACTAAAACAAAACTAATTGTAAAGGGTCTACAATTAATTTTAATTCTGATGGAAATGGTACAGCGTTTACTGCTCATTTTTCCTTAAAAAATATGAGCAATCCATTTGTTTTTGAAGATAACTCCTTCAATTTTGCTCTAATTAACTTTTATAAGTGCTCATTTTGAAGGCCTTTTTGAGTACTATAAAAAACTCCAGAAGCGTTATACACTTAAAATTAATCCTTTTTCCGTTATTTGACGTTGAATACATCGATTCAAGTATTCCCCCCAAAACAAGTCCCCTTCCACTAACCATATTTCGCTTTATATAGGACGTATAACGTTTTTTAAAAAACTATAATCTTTGTTTATTTATAAGCTACATTTTTGTTTATTACAGTTTTTTTTATTAAAATGCATAGTTATTCGCGAAAAATACTTTGAAAGTGTTTTCTTTCACTCAAAATTCCAAGTTTTCAATTGTCAATAAATAAAAAACTATCGATTTCTCGAAAAAATTCTTCGAATATTTTTTACTCACAATTTGATTCTTTATCGATTTCCAGCATTATTTTTGAAAAAAAATTTCCACCCCCGAGAAGGGGTGTCAACCCCCAACAGAGTGAAAGCGTCAATCGGCGCTATGTCACAAATGTTCATTGACCTTTTCTCTAACTATCTGCCAAATTTCAAGTCGATCGGTTCAGTTTCAAAGAATTCAGAGGTGAAAAGCTTTAATGACTGTACTAATAACTCTCTGTTCGTAAATAAAAGCAAGTAGAGAGTTTAATTCAACTTCTTATTAACAGATGGCGCAACTGAAACATAGTCACAACTGTATGTCGAATTCATTTCAAATTTATAGTTTTTTAAATTCTAATTAAATGATTTTATACAAAAATTAAAAAATTACAGGCAAGCAGTAAGACTGTACATAAAATCAAATTCAGGAACTGTTTGGTGACGGTGTAGACAAGAGATTAAGTGCAGTTTAAAAAACTAATAACTCAACTGTCTATTTCATTAGAAAATACCACTAATAAATTTCGTTGATGTTACATTATTTTTATCATAATATCCTCAGAACTTTATATGTAAGGATTTGTATGTTAAAAATTATAAAGATACGTAAGGACATTTTAAATATAAAATTAAAATGAGATTCTGAGGATGTCGCAATAAAAAAGGCGAAATATCAAGAAAATACGTTTTTTATATTTCCTGACCAAAAAAAAAACAACCAAAGGTCATTAACAATTATTTAGAGTTGCCCTAAAAAACTAAACCCTTTTAAATACAAAATCAAAATGGGATCTTGAGGATGTCACAATAAAAAGGGCGAAACATTGATAAAATATAATACATTTGTTTTTTAATATTTCCTCACCTGATGCAGACTAAAAAAAAGAAAAAAAAAACAGCTAAAGGTAACCAACAATTATTTAAAGTCGCTCTAAAAAACTGACCCCTATTTTAGATACGAAATTAAAATGGGATCCAGAAGACGAAAGATTAACAAAATGTTTGTTTTTTATATTTCCCGTCATAATCCAGAAAAAAAAGGTGCCAACAATTAATTAGTCACCCTAAAAAAAAACTGCCCCCCCACTTAAAATATACAAGTCAAGTGCTTATTACTTACCTATATCTCTATGATGCGGACAATTCTGGTACTCGATCAAAGTGCTCTGCATCGGGTTAGGAGGAACGTTTTCTTTTTTCTCCTTATCGCCGTCCTTCGGTTCGATTTTTATTTCGCTATTCGGGGAGGTGATCAAGTTGGTCTCGGCGACGTTATTCAGCATAAAACCCAATTTTTTCGCGCACAGATGCGCCAATCTCCGACATAAAAGCTCAGACTGCACGAACTCGTCCAAGTACTGGAGAGTTAACGGTAGAAACAACCTTAAGATTCCATCGTCGGCCGGCTGCGATTTTTGTTTTTCTAGCAATTCTATTATCCAGCTTAACACCTCTTGGCGATCCATAAGACCTAAATATATTTAAATGTGACAAGTAAAATATAATTAACATAAAACGTTACCTTCTTCGTACATGTACTTCAACAGTCTGATACAGTATCCCCAATGACGAACAGCTAGTTTTTGTTCGGTTTCGTTAGTATGGACGGCTGTTAGAGACGTGTTGGCTGGATTCGGCTTCTCTGCCTGTGAATAATATTCCAACAGCTTTGGAATTTGATCTTTCAGGAATTTCAGCAATGTGCCAGTCCACTCTATTAAAAGAAATAAATAATCTCGGATTTTTTACTTGTTAAATACATTTATACGACCTCACTTACCTGCAGTTGGGTCAGGCATCTGTCTCTTCTTAATCTTCGCTTCGGACACAGCAACAGCGTAGGCAGAACTCAGTTTTATAAACCAGGCAGCTCTAATCATTGGCACCTGATGCTCGGTCAGCATCATGAAAATTTCCTCCTTTTTATTGAAATTGGGAGCCTTCTTAGAGAGATTCATCAAAGGCTTGTTTCCGGCTAAATCCTTAAACCAGGCTTCAATGTGATTCTTCGTCCTAATCGTTGCAGGCCAGAAGTTATCCTTTGTATTGATTTGTTGCCTTTTGCGACCAGAATCTGGTAACATGGAGAGCTCTTCTTTCCGAGCAATAATAGCGTTAAAATACGCTCCGACCTAAAATATAAAAACATATAACCAAAGTCTAGACATTATACAGCTTGCTTACTTTGCTTGCAGTAACATTACAATTTCTGGCTGTTCCAAATTCGTCGCTAAGATGGGTCATAGTAGGAAAGCCATGTTTTACGTTAATACTGGTCAGTTCATCCTCTTTTTGTTTCGGTTCTTGAGGATAGACGTCTGGCGGACCTATTCGAGGCTTCTTAAGAGGCCTCTTCTCATATAAGAGGCTACTATTGAACATTTCTTAAATATAAGATCAACCACTAAGATAACAATTTCAAATTATCAAGCATTTCTTTTCAGCATGCTTTATAGTAAAGTATTTTACTAATAGCTGATCGAGAAATAATTTCTTGAAATACTCTAATTATTTATTAATAATGCACAGCACAATAACACCACCATCCATTTTTTAGACTGCAAGCTGCAAGTAACAACAATTAACAACTGACAACTGGCAACATGGCAATATCGAACGGAACATCGGAAACGTCAGGGGGCGACACTGTCAGATGTTTTTCAATTCATTTTAGTCATGTTTACGTGGTATTTCAGTTAATCTCACGAAATATTCGCAATGTCGAGTATTTGATCTCAACCACTCACTTAATTAATTAATCAGCTTTAGAATATCTAAAATTTCGGGTAAATGAAACACGGCTACTGTAAATCTTTTAAGCTACCGAGCTCTTCTTCTTCTAGTTGATTTGCATTGTTCCTCTGTCCCATTTTTTGTAGATTAGATAAGTATGCAAATGTAGTTATTTTTAAGTGGATATTCGGGGAATTCCGAATAAGGAATAAGGCTTTTTTACTTGTTACTTAACTCGCTCTCGCGTTATTTCGTTATTTGTTATTTGACAACTCGTGTTTCGTCTAGCTGGGTGATATTGTTCTCTTGTCCACGTTAACGTGTTAAATAAAAAACCGGGTACCTTATTGCAGAAATAACTATTAAAAGATGGGTGATGTATCAACTGAAAATATATCAAAAAAGTAAGTTTTCGTTGCTATTCTTCTTGAAACAATTTATGTGGCTTTTTTCCAATGGGATGAGAAATAACCTCAATTTAAAGCAATGATGCAAACTTTAGGTGTAGCGAGGAAACATTTTTTTTCAACTAATACAAGATTGTTTCAAATAAGTAAAAGGTATGTTAGATGTATTACAGTCTAAGCTAATTAATTCTGTTTTCCACTCTAGTGAGTTGAAAAGGCGGTTGAAAGCCGAACAAAAAGCTAAGGAAAAGCTAGAAAAAGCTGCAACACAACCTGCCGTGGAAAAGAAACAAACAGAAAATAAGGTATCTGAAGAAGATGTAAGCCCTAATGAATATTTTAAAATTAGGACCAATGCTATAGCCCATCTCAAGACGTTGGGTGGCGATAACCATCCTTATCCCCACAAGTTCCACGTTACGACTTCTTTAGAGGAGTTTATTGAAAAATATTCAAATCTAAAAGATGGAGAAGTACTAGAAAACGAGAGGCATAGTATTGCAGGCCGAATACACGCTATTAGGGAGTCTGGCTCCAAACTGGTCTTTTACGACTTACGAGGTGAGGGAGTTAAGGTGCAAGTGATGGCTACTGCAAGACAGTACGAGAACGAGACCAAGTTCACTGATGATATCGCTAAAATTCGTCGTGGTGATATTATCGGCGTCGAGGGTGTACCTGCCAAAACTAAGAAGGGAGAACTATCTGTGGTGCCGAAAAAGATCAAATTGCTGTCCCCCTGCCTTCATATGCTTCCACATTTACATTTCGGTCTAAAAGACAAGGAGACTAGATACAGACAGCGTTACTTAGACTTGATTTTAAACAACAGGGTACGTAAGATCTTCGAAGTAAGAGCCAAGATAATCTCCTACATTAGGAGGTTCTTTGACGATTTGGGATTCTTAGAGGTCGAAACGCCGATGATGAACATGATCGCAGGTGGCGCAACTGCCAAGCCATTCGTAACGCACCACAACGAGCTTAATATGGATCTGTACATGAGGATAGCGCCCGAGTTGTACCATAAGATGCTGGTTGTGGGCGGTTTGGATAGAGTATATGAAATCGGACGGCAGTTTAGAAACGAGGGTATAGATTTAACTCACAATCCCGAGTTCACCACGTGCGAATTCTACATGGCTTATGCCGATTATAACGACGTGATTGTGATTACGGAAACTCTCGTTTCTGGAATGGTTCACAGTATTCACGGCACCTATAAGGTTAAGTACCACCCGGATGGACTCGATGGCGAGGAAGTCGAGATCGATTTCACGCCACCGTTTAGGCGCATCCGCATGATACCCGCCTTGGAAGAAGCTCTTAAAGTGAAATTTCCTCCAGCGACGGAATTGGACACCAAAGCCACAAACGAATTCTTAAACGACCTTTGTATCAAACATAACGTTGAGTGTTCCCCGCCCAGGACCACCGCTAGGCTACTGGACAAACTGGTAGGCGAGTTTATCGAGGAACAATGCGTCAATCCCGCCTTCATATTAGAACATCCGCAAATAATGAGCCCGTTGGCCAAGTGGCACAGGTCCATCCCGGGCTTAACAGAACGATTCGAGTTGTTCGTTATGAAGAAGGAAATTTGTAATGCCTACACGGAATTGAACGATCCCGTCGTTCAGAGGCAGCGATTCGAACAGCAGGCGGCGGATAAAGCCGCTGGGGACGATGAGGCGCAACTGGTCGATGAGAATTTCTGTACCGCTCTAGAGTACGGCTTACCCCCCACCGGCGGTTGGGGAATGGGCATCGACCGGCTTACCATGTTTTTGACGGATAACAATAACATCAAGGTAATTTAATGTTGCAAATATTTCAATGAGTTTTTTTAAATTTTAATATACAGTGTGTCCCATCAGTGTCCTGAAGAGGAAAAACTTTTGTGAGAAAATGTCGTACTTTATAAAATTTCTGTTCGCTTTGAAACCCTCGAAAATGTTACTATTTCCTTGAATTTATACGTTTATATACAGGCTGTTACAATTCGCTTCTCACTACAGGGATCTCGGAAACGGTAAGAGGTACGAAGTAGCTTAAATGGGGGCAATGTTGCGTAATCAGGGGACCAACATAATGCCTCTAAAAAATACAGTCTCTAAATTATAAGCAATTTTTCGTTTTCGAAAAACATCATTTTTAATTTAAATTTTGGATAATTATTAAGATCTATGAGATTTAAGATTTTTTAGAAAAAAACATTTCAATTTATTTATTATCAATTTATTCAGCAATTTCTTGTATAATTACGATCTTGAATATTTAACACGAATTACCATTTTTTTTTCTGTAATATATTATTTAATTTTTATTATATTGTATTCATCACAGCAATTGTTAGTGCCACTTTTTTGGTTTTTTAAAATTTAAGGTATTTTTAAAATATTTACCACCCTGTATAAAAAGCAAAAAATATATTTTTTTGCGATTTTCAAAGCAAATGGGTTTGTAAATTATAATTTCTCATAAACTTGCAAATAAAAAGTTTTCCTTATTCAAGATACAATCTCGTGTAAATTTTCTGTAAAAATTATTAATTGCATTGATAATATCGAAAGATTTTTGTTATCAAAAGATTTCAAGATCTGCAAAAATAGAATGAATACACCTTATCTATAAGATTGATAAATATTCAGTAACATTTAAAAAAAAATGACAAATAATTTTGAGTGGTTCGCACTATTCACTTTAAAAATTAGTTGCATTGCATCATTAAGAAATAAGATTATTACTGCAGTACAAAACGTAGATTAAATTCTTTAAACACTTAATTCAACCGTTTCGTGAACTTGATTTCGTAATTTTCATAAAAAAAAAAAGATAAATAATTTAAAGTGGTTCAGCACTATCCAGTTTAAAAATTACTTGCATTGCATCATTAACAAATAAGATTATTATTGCAGTGCAAAGCGTAGATTAAATTCTTTAAACACTTAATTCAACAGTTTCTTCAATTTGATTTCGTAATTTTTATTAAAAAAGAAAATTATAAATAATTTTGAGTGGTCCAGCACTAACCAGTTTAAAAATTAGTTGCATGGCATTATTAACAAATAAGATTATTATTGTAGCACAAAGCGTTTCTTGAATTTGATTGAATTTTCAGGAAGTATTACTTTTCCCCGCCATGAAACCTGACGACCCGAACAAGAACAAGGAGGACGACAACAGTCCAAAGGAGCAAAATAACGCTTAAAAAATGTATTTTCATAAATTGAATTTATTTTATTTTACTTATTTATTCTTATCCACTCTTCAGGCAGATGATTTTTATGTCGTAAATATGTTTATGTATTCGTCTCTTGTCACTATCTAAATGAAATGAAAAGTAGCTTATGGTGTAAAGCTAATATTAATTAATTAATTAATATTTTCAATGATTTTTTTTTATTTTAGGTATTTATTAGGTTTAAATATCTTCAGTATGAGTTGTTTTGAAGTAAAACACTTTTATTTAGCATTGCAAAAAACTACAATGTGTTTGTTTAATATTTGGATAATGTTTTTTTGTGACAAATATACTTACTCTACTCGAAAATGAAGGAGCATTTTCCTCATCTTAATTTACGATTTTTATATGAAGTGAATATTTGCCATGGAAGCCGTCATTTTTGAAATACAGGGTGTTGCATTAAATATATCGAAATCTCTTTTGAACAAAACAAAAACAAAATTTTGTGTGTCAGGGTGAAAAAATTATAGTCCAGCTCATAGAACAGTAAAAGTAGGCTTTGGTCCATGATTTTCTTCTATTTTTCACCCATTGTTAACGCAAAATTCAACTTTTTTGATTCGCAGTTGTAACTTTATAGAAAATCGTCAAATAAACAAAAAATAAAGAATGACTTTTTTGATTTAGGGCTTACTTTCAAAATGTGTCAAAAAACAGGTCATTTTTCGTAATTTTTGTACTTTTGTTGTTCACCTGAATTTAGCAATGGTTTTTTGGAATAGGCAAACTCGGATTCTTATTCTACATAATATTTGGGATTTTTTTGTAAACAAAATAGACGACTTCAAATACAAACACAACGAATGTTCTACTGCCTGACCTATTTAGTATCTGCCCAAACTAGCAAAAATTAGCACACCTAAAAAAATATTTTTTCGTCATTTTTTAAATATAAATTGAATTTTGAACAAAAATGACCAGTTCACTTTGCACATCTGTTACTACTAAAAAAAATCTCAATAGAAGTACAGGGTGTTTCACATAAGAACTGACAGCAGGGGCATGTAAGGGAACCGAAAAATATGGTGATTTAACACCAACAAACAAAGATATCATAAGGAATTTTCATGTACAGAATTTGTGAACTACATTCGGAGTAAAAAAATTAAGTTTCGAGTCCAGTATATCCTTTTCTGTGCGCTCTTAATGGACGAAGAATGACTGATTAATTTTCTAATTAAAAAAAAAATATTTCAAAATTTTATACATTAAAAAAGCTCTCATTTAAACTCATTTATTCGCTATTGTAACAAAAAATCATGGTATATCCATTAAATCCACGGCATTTTTATTATTGACTATTTGATAAATTCAAAATTACATAATTTTTTATATGTAAAGTATATATATAGGCAATTTACTCAAAGTAATTTTTCAGCCTAAAGTACCACCGAGTTAACATGCAATTAGATGAAGTCGTTCCGCGTAACCCCTAAATATTACAACATCCACGTTATAATTTAATTATACAAAACCATACAGACAGTCCAATAATATTTCTTGTGTTAATAACAGCAGAAGAATTGTCACTTGTTCCTATTAATTTTCCTAATTAAACCTAGAGAGAGCGAATTTCATACATCCTCGTCGTCCCCGGTCACGGGCAGTGTCGAATTGTAATGTTCTCCTAGCCGGTACAGATGTCTATGGTACGTAAGAATCAACTCGGGTCCCTTGAAGGTTTCGCCTTGAAGAGTAGGTGGACCGCTGGCTTGTATGATTTTTATCGGACATTTTAGAATGTTGGAAAGGGCTCGCAGTTCCAGCTGACCACCCCACAATTTCGTCGTGGCTACGTCCTTACAATAATTCTCAAATTGTTCTTCACTAACAATCTCAGACTCGTCTAATTCGTTTACCATGAATGGAAGAAATTCATCTGTATGTTTCAGCATGAAGTCGGCTGTTGTTTTCCGCAACTCGTTTACAGAGTGACTCGGCCTTCCCGTTACTTGCAGCTGATGATTTATAGCTAAGTATAAACAGTTACCATCTGCAGGTATGTTGTAAACTTTCAAGTTCATTGACCGAAGGGACTGTTTTATGGTGTTTAATTCTAGTACTCGGGGACCTTCCTTATTTTTTTCAGCTTGCTCTTGTATTCTCTTTTCGCGCTCTTTGGCTTCGTTTTCTTTTTTGTTCCTCCGTTTTTGGGCCCTGGACACACGAATGGTTGGCCCTTCGATGTCTGGCACGCTTTTCTCATTGTCATTGTCGGGCACAGGATCGACACTTTGGTTACTGTTAGGAGCACTGTCTTTTAATAAGCGAAGTTCGTTTCTATGTTTTTCTTCCAGTTCACTTTCGAGTTTTGCAATTTCTTCGGTAATGTCTTTCTTTTTCTTTTTATCTCCTTTTGGTATGCTCTTTTTCAGCCCTTGCACCTTGGACTGCAAATCTTTTTTTTCTTGTTTATGTCTTCTTAACAGTTCATCCTCATCTAGGACCATGTCTCCAGAATCCATTTTTAAAATAATTGGTTTAAAAATATGGAACTTATATTACCTACCAACTTCAAAATTAGGTTATCTTACGTTACAAATAAAATTAGGTTAAGAACATAGAAACCGGTGAGAGGGGAGAGACGAATGTAACATTCTTTCTATGTTTCATAATTAGAAGAAGAATAAGAAAATGATTGAAAAGTAAACTACCTATTATTCCTCGACACTTCGGACACAGGTGGAAGAAGAACAAAACGTCAAACTTGTTTTTTTAGGTTAACAATAAGTCACAAGCTATTTTATATTAGGCCAAAGTCCAAGTTTAACTTTTATTTTCGTTAGTCGGGTGTGTATAACGAGTCGAGTTGCGTGATTTTTTGGCGAAAGGTGAACCGGCTGAAATTTCTAAAATGTCGGGTTTAAAGTTACTCGGTGCATTGTCTACATTTTCTAGAAACAGTATTAAATTTAGTCCAAAATGTAAGACTCTCATTTATAATAGTAATATCAATTATGTGGTATTATTTAATATTTGCAAATGCTCAAATATGTTTTTTTGTACTTTGTACCCATATACCTATAGATATTTTAAACTGATTTTCTAACAGGTAGTATTTTCTTTTCAGTTCAATTAAGATGTATGTCTGCAGGTGAAATGAAACATTTCAAATTGAAAGTAGTAGATAATATAGGAGTTATTGTGGTGGATTCCCCAGGAGTTAGAGTAAGTTTGATATTGTATAATGAATTAGTATTCCCTTAGACTTTGGATTCAAAACTTTAAGGGTGACCTGCATGGAAAAAATATCCTATTATTATTAGATATACTAAAGTCCATTCTAATTAGTGAAAATTATGTTAAATGTTAGCATTAGAAATGGTAACAATTTTTTAAATCTAGTTTTCGTAGTAATTTAAGTTGTGAAATGACAAATGTCAGTGTAGTTTTAATGTTTATGTAATAGTTTTTATAGATAAACCATAAATATGACCCCGCGTATTCTAACAGCTGGTTCCACTATTACGATTAAAAGAAGTGATGGTAGAACGCAACAAGCGATAGTTTCTTCGATAGAGTACGATATAAATTATGTAAAAGTAGAATGGTTTGAAAATGGCGAGACGAAAGGGAAAGAAATCCATTTTACCAACGTTACTGCACTCAATCCTAATATTTTGATTTGCAATTCCCCAGAGCCTTCGAATAAATTCAATTCAGTTTGCTGCAGTAGCATCGATGATACCTTGGTTAATAAAAATAAGAGAAGATGCGTCTCCATGAGCCAAAATTGCCGTACCCAATCTGCTAAGCCTAGACTAACGCAACAGAGTCACAATCCGGATTCATCCACTTTAAATGAGTTGGTCGTGCAGGGAAAGTCTTTACACACTACCAAATCTACACGTTCAGCGATCGAAAATTTTTCAAAGTTTAAGGAAGGCCCCACCCTGAAGAAATTAAGTAAGTTAGAGCAAGATAGAATAGAAAGACGAAGAAAACAAGCCGAGGTAAAGGCAGAGAAAGATGAGATTTCGAAGAAAAATCAAAAAATTCCTTATTGGGAACTACAAAAAATGATTTGTGAATATCAAGAGAAGATCTATTTTAAGCCTCTGTCTAATAAAGACGTGATAGTAGACCACTTAATCACTGTCGCTGTAAGGAAGAGACCTTTGAACAATTCAGATATTTGTAGGAAAGAAATCGACATCATAACAATTCCCGATAAAAACACACTTATCGTGCATGAACCTAAATATAAGGTGGATTTGACAAAGTACTTGGATAACCACGTGTTTAGATTCGATTATGCCTTCGACGAATCTTGTTCTAATGAAATGGTATACAAATACACGGCCCAACCCCTAGTGAAAACTGTTTTCGAAGGAGGTTTTGCTACTTGTTTCGCATACGGTCAGACAGGCTCTGGCAAAACTTACACCATGAGCGGCGACGTTTTGGAAAATAATGGGGAAAAAGGCATCTACGCCTTGGCTGCTTCAGACATATTCAAAGAAATCAACTCCGCTAAATACCAGCATTTAAATCTAGTAGTATCCTGCAGCTTCTTCGAGATCTACGTAAAGAAAGTATTTGACCTCTTAAACAACAAGAAAAGTTTGAAAATCTTAGAAGACGGAAAACAGCAAGTGCAAGTCGTCGGATTGACAGAAAGAATGGTGTATTCTGTGAACGAAGTATTGGACGTTATTAAACAAGGCAACGAAGAGAGGGCGTCAGGTCAAACGTCAGCCAATGTGAATTCTTCAAGGTCCCACGCAATCTTTCAAATCTATTTACGAACCAAGAATAAGGCAAAGGAAGTCTACGGAAAATTTTCCTTGATAGATTTAGCGGGCAACGAGCGAGGCGCCGACACTTTTTCCTCGTCTAAAGTAACCAGGTTAGAAGGATCCGAAATTAACCAATCCTTGTTGTCCCTGAAAGAATGTATAAGGGCGTTGGGGAGGAAAGGCGCACATCTACCTTTCAGGGGGTCGAAGTTGACGCAAGTGCTGCGAGACTCGTTCATCGGGACAAACTCAAAGACTTGCATGATAGCGATGGTCTCTCCAGGCGTAGGCTCGTGCGAGAATACTTTGAACACCCTCAGATACGCGGATCGAGTGAAAGAATTGGGAGGTGGCGATGCACACATCAATAAAAGTGGTGACTGTGTCGATGACTGCATTATGTACAGCCTGCAAAGTGTAGCTAAGATTTGTTCTGAACAACAGAGCGTTGAGGAACCCAAGAAAGTACAGTTAGACGAAAAGGTCATTACCAGTCACGAAGAGTCGGTGAAAAAATTACATAAGAGCGTTAAGGATGCAGAGAACTTGTTACATTTCGCCAGGAATGATGCAGAAACGTATAGCCGGAATTGGAATTCGTTAATAGATGACATGGTGTCGTTCTTACTAAAAACGAAGATATAATCAGTGTATATTTTTTAATTAAAATGTACAATCTACATCGCCTATTGCTTTATTTCAATGTTAAGTTACCAAAAGTAGTGTTAAATAAACTGGTATTCTTACAAAAATGTTTATATCAGCTATACTTAAAAATGAAAAGTTTCGCCTATAGCTCGTTCCTGTGCTGGTTTTAATAACTTTTTTTGTAGGTTAACTCTCTCAACGAGGAAGTCACGACTGAATTCAAAAACCTACTGCCTCAGATCGACTCCAATTCCCAAATCCAAGCGTGCGTTCTCATCTCCGGGAAACCAGGATGTTTCATAGCCGGGGCCGACATTGGCATGTTGGAAACCGTCAAGACAGCAGAGGAGGCTGCGGAAATGTCCCGAATTTATCAGCAGGTGTTACAGCAGGTCGAGGATAGCAAGAAACCTTTCGTTTCCGCTATCCAGGGATCGTGTATGGGCGGGGGATTGGAAACTGCCTTGGCCACGCATTACAGGATAGCTGTCAAAGACAGGAAAACGGTTTTGTCATTGCCAGAAGTAATGCTGGGACTTTTACCTGGTAAGTTGCGTCACAGAATTTTAACTGTATAGCAAATATAACAATTTGTTATCGTCCGATAAACATCCTTAATATTATTCCAAACGTGTTTGAGAGTTTAGTTTGTGATTACTTAACTTCTGTCCTGATTAACAATATCTGTATTTAAACGACCTAATATTTTATTTAATATATGAATTTTTTACAGTTCTGATTTTTTACAAATTGTTAAATCTCTACTTAGACCGATCAAAATAACTCATTTAGAGGGAAAAAAAAAGAAAATTATTACCTGGATTTTCATAAGTGGAAATGGTAAAGGGGATTATAATAAACAAAAAATAAATAAATGCGTGAGCAGGGGCAGCAGAGGGTTGATTTGGGGGGTTGAAAACTTATGAAAAATTGTATCATTGGAATTTCTGGCGAAAGTTGACGTCGAACAAAAAAGTATCTAATACAAAAGTTGTAGATCATGCAAAAATCTACAACTTTTGTAGAGGTCATTTTTTAACATAACCTGAAAATTTCCGAGAAAAATGCAAAAAGCAGTTTTTTTTTTCAGGTTTTTCGTTTTTTATTTCTCATTTCCGCAAAAATAATTTAATTTTGACGAAACTTGGTGAAAGTACACCTTTCTCTGTCTTAAATAACCTCAATTTTTTTTAGATAAAAAAATCAAGAAGTTTCTGAGATATTCATTTTTTTCGGCCTGAAACACTTATTTTTCAATGAAAAATTCTATTTAAAAAAATCATCGTACAGAGTTCTGCCGGTAATCATTTTTTTCGTTTTGATATATACTTTTTGGTGAAATAAAAAAATTTTAAATCAGTTCAAAAACATGCTCAAAAATGCAAAAAAGTAAAAAATGACTTGCAGCAATGAATTTTTCAGTAATTGATAGTTTGTTTAAATTTAAAAAAAAAAAACAAAAACTGATTATACCATTCAATTGTACGGAAAAAATACAAAAAAAAACTGTCTCATTGTTTGACCCAAAACTAACGAGCGTTCAAATAAAAACGTGGTCAAGTTGGTTCTGAAAATTTGGACGTAGGGCGTAGCGTATAGCAAATGAACTTAAACGTCACCTGTCAAAGCGCTATATCGCCGCTATCAATTTGAATATTTTCGTTTTAAAAAGCGTTTAAAATGGTGTTTTCTCAAGAACAAAAAGTGTTTATCATAGAGTCCTACTTTAGAAATGGACGCAAGATTGATGGAATATGAAAGTATTCTATTGAGGAATGTTTCATAGAATTTCAAAATCAATTTCCCGGCATTGTTGCGTACAAAAATTTTCAAAGTGCAGTTCAGCGTTGTGTTAATGTTTTTCGTGAAACGGGCAGTGTAACAAGAAAAGAAGGAAGCGGCCGACCTAAAAAGCGGACTGAAGAATTAAAAGAAAATGTCCAACAAAGAATGGAAAATGCGCCAAGAACTTCTGTACGTGTTTTATCACAAATGGTGGGAGTATCAATCGGTACCTGCCACACAGTGTTAAAAAAAGATTTGCGTTTGTTCTCCTATCGTTTAACTTGTCAGCAAGAACTTCATGAAGTTGATTTTCCGCTACGGGCTGTATTTTGTGAATGGTTTTTAAACAACTACGGTGAACTTCATAATATCACCTTTTTTTCTGATGAAGCCTGGTTTCATTTAAGTGGTTACGTAAACTCACAGAATATGAGAATGTGGTCTTCTGAAAAACCAGATAACTTTTTTGTCGAGGGCCATCTACACACTTAAAAAATTGGAGTTTGGTGTGCTCTCAATCGAAGGAGGATTTATGGACCTATTTTTTAATGGTACTCTTACTGCGCAAAGGTATAGAGAAGAAATTATCGCTCCTTTTGTTAACCAGCTGGAAGAAAACGAAATTACAAACTTTTACTTTCAACAAGATGGCGCAAGGGCACATACGGCAGGCGAGATGATGAATATGTTGAGGGAAGTTTTCCAAAATCGACTAATAAGTCTCGATGCTGAACATGAATTTCCACCGAGGTCATGTGATATTACGCCGTGTGATTTCTTTTTGTGGCCTTACCTTAAAAACACTATTTTTGAACTGTCTATTCCTGATTTAAACCATCTGCAGGCTCAACTTATAGACAAGATTCGTGAAATTAACAATACCCCGAGCATCTTAGAAAATGTCTTTAATTCTTTGAGGAACAGGTGTGAAAAGTGCTTGGAACAAGGAGGGGGACACTTTCAGCAGCTGCTTTAATTTATTGTTATAACAAGGAGGGGGACACTTTCCGCAGCTCCTTTAATTGTTTGTTATTGTTATCACGATTATTCTTTAAAATAAAGTTATATAGTCATTAACGTTATTGAAACTAACAGCTGCTATTGAGGTTAAGTTGGTCGCTATAAGCTACTCCCTACGTCCAATGTGTCAGAGCCAACTTCGACCACGTTTTTATTTGAACGCTCGTTATTTTTGTACAGTATTGCTATAAACATAAGTCGAATAGTGAATAAATAAAATAAATAATTTTTTTTTCCGTAGGATCAATTAGTGTACTTATTTTTTTTAAAGTTTGATAAATTCATAGATATACAGTGTGTCCAAGATAAGGATGGGATAGCATTAGGATCTAGGAAACGGTAAGAGATACGAGGTGGCTCAGATTAGAAAAAAAGTTGTGTTTTTTTATACCTAACAATATGCTGTTTAGAAAGTTTTAAAATTTCGGGTAGTTCCGGAGATATTCGGAAAAACCCGAAATTTTGCAAAATTGTTTAATTTTTTCTAGCTTTATTTGAAAACGAATTTTAAAATAAATTACATATTTACAATGCCACTTTTTTCGCTCTATACAATGGCTCCAACATTTTTGCAATCCGACGTTTCGTCTTCGAGGGGCCATCATCGCGTTAATTCTTTTAAATATGCCGCTGCTATTTTTATAACAAAATCTAGTCATTTTTAATTCTGAATTAGAGGGTATTACTATTGTAATAGCTTAGAAACTTTTTAGCTTGCTTTAGCTATTATTTAAAATTTTTCCTAAGTACGGCTCTGAACGCTTTCAAAATATCTACTGGATGAAGTCATAACAGTATACAAGTCAATACCGCACAAAATATGCAACAATTTTTAACTGTTAGCAATAGTAATAAGAAATAATAAAATATTTCATAAATTCGTATTATTTTTTTTATTAGGTACAACTTTTTAAATTATGGATTAAAAAAAATGGTGCTGTATTGATTTTTATTCTCTCCTCCTCCAATAGATACAGGTATTTTGAAAGCGTTCAGGAAAATTTTTTAATGATAGCTAAAAACCTTTTTACCATTAAAATAGTAATATCATCTAATATAGAATTAAAAATGACTAGATTTTGTCATAAAAATAGCAGCGATATATTTAAAAAAATTAATCTGATAATGGCCCCTCGAAGATGAAACGTCGGATTGCAAAAATGTTGACGCCATTGGATAGAGCGAAAAAGTGGTAATGTAAATATGCAATTTATTTAAAATTCGTTTTCAAATAAAGCCAGAAAAAAATAATAAAACGATTTTGCAAAATTTCGGGTTTTCGTGTTTCGCGTCAACAGTACACTTTGCAGTTAATACTTTGTACTGCTGAAATCTCAAATCATCCAGAGATAATTTATCATTTGTGCATATGTAATTCGACTTAGATGTTTATAGCAATACATACTGTACAAAAATATAGTTTTGGGTCAAACAATGAGTTTTTTTAATTTTTTTCCGTAGAATTGAATGGTGTAATGTTTTTTAATTTAAACAAATTATCAACAATAACTGAAAAATTCAATGCTGCAAGTAATTTTTTATTTTTTTGCATTTTTGAGCATGTTTTTGAATTGTTATTACAAATTTTTTTATTTCACCAAAAAGTATATGTCACAACGAAAAAAATGATTACCGACAGAACTCTGTACGATGATCTTTTTAAGTAGAATTTTTCTTTGAAAAAAAGTGTTTCAGGCCGAAAAAATGAATATCTCGGAAACTTCTTGATTTTTTTATCTAAAAAAATTTGAGGTTATTTAAGACAGAGAAACGTATACATTCACCAAGTTTCGTAAAAATTACAATATTTTTGCAGAAATAAGAAATAAAAAACAAAAAATCAAAAAAAAAACTGTTTTTCTCGCATTTTTCTCGGAAATTTTGAGGTTGTTAAAAAGTGACCTCTACAAAAGTTGTAGTTTTTTGTATTGGATACTTTTTTATTTGACGTCAACTTTCGCCAGAAATCTCAATGATACAATTTTTCATAACTTTTCAACCCTCCAAATCAACCCTCCGCCGTCCCTGTTCACGCATTTATTTTTTTTTAGATTTATTAAAAGCCCCTTTACTATTTCCACTTATAAAAGTCCAGGTAACAATTTTTTTTTCCAAGTGTAATTTGGTAGGACATACTTCTCAATTCAATCTTTTCTCAATTACATCTGACGCTTTTTATTTTTTTCATTTGTCACTACATCGTTATCTTATGTAGTCCATTCCTTTTTTTAAGAGTGAAAGCAAATGCAAACGCCATATAAATATACACAATTTGATTCCTTTTAATTCATCCAGTCAATTTTGTTATTCCTTATTTTTCTAACGTCGAAACATTGTTCATCGGAGATGATGTTTTCTCTTCTCTTTCTCTGTTTATTTTATGCCATTGTGCATTCAACCACTTATCCATTGACCGAGATATTAAACAAAAAATAACACATGGCTTGTACATAAACAACAATTTATTGCAAGTACATTTTACCGGTTTTAGGCGGCGGCGGTACCCAGAGGTTGCCCCGCTTAGTATCCATTCCAAACGCTTTAGACCTTATGTTGACCGGCAAAAATGTTAGGGCCGATAAAGCTAAGAAACTTGGTATAGTGGATCTTCTGGTCGATCCTCTAGGTCCTGGACTGGACAATCCGGAAGCTAACACGATAAGATATCTCGAATCTGTAGCCGTGGACATCGCCAAGCAGTTGGCGGCTGGTAAACTGCAAGTAGAGCGACGAAAGAACCTTCCGGACAAAATCTTACAGCTCGCCTTGCAGTACAACTGGGTGAAAGATCAGATTTTCGGGAAAGCCAAGAAGCAAGTTCTGAAAGTGTCCGGTGGGTTGTATCCTGCGCCACTTAAGGTGTGTTGCCATTTTTTTACCGTTAAAAGCAACTAATCACGTCTACTTTAGATCCTAGAAGTGGTACGAATGAGACTGGACAAAGGCGAAGCGGCAGGTTTCGTAGCGGAGGCAAAGGCTTTCGGGGAGCTTGCTATGACGCCGCAATCCAAGGGACTGATAGGTGTCTTCAGGGGACAGACCCAGTGCAAAAAGAATAGATTCGGCAAGCCCCAGCAACAGGCCAAAACCGTGGCCGTCCTAGGTGCCGGATTGATGGGCGCCGGTATCGCCCACGTGTCAGTCGACAAGGGGTATCAGGTCTTGTTGAAAGACACGAGTACAAACGGTTTAGCGAGGGGAGTCAACCAAATTGAGACTGGGCTTAATGGGGCTGTGAAAAGAAAACGATTGACGGGGTAAGTTTATTAGTACAGGAATAATTTTGAATGAGGATCACATTTATATTGACCTTTAGAAATGTATTATAAGTTTGTTTCTTCAAATTTTGCTGTGAAAACAATTTTTCTTTACTTTTTCGTAATTTTCATTGTAACCTCTAATTGTGAGCTTGATTTGTATATAGATGTTTTTTTGTAATAATAACCTAAATTAAGCGAATGTCAGAGGTCGTCGACACTGGGATTCACAAACTAAACACAGTGCTTAAAAAAATAGTAACAATATTTTGACTTTTTCCATTTTAGCTTAGAGAAAGACAGGTTCCTATCGAATTTGGTTCCAACGTTGACTTACGACAAATTTAACAAAGCCGATATAGTAATCGAAGCCGTTTTCGAGGATATCAGCGTGAAACACAAGGTGCTGAAGGAGGTGGAGGCCGTCACATCGCCGAACTGCGTGTTTGCTACCAACACCAGCGCTATTCCCATCTCCAAGATCGCGACTGCTTCTAAGAGACCAGAAAAAGTTATAGGTACGTTTTAATATCAGACGTGTGCAGTTTGCGGTGTGTTTTCATTAATTTTTTATTATAGACGTCAAAAATCCACACTCCTAAAACCGTACTCCATCATTTTCCTGATAATATCCCTTTCCCTTTGTGTCGGTGAGTAAAATTTGGAAATATGATTATATAACCTCAAACTTTTTTTTTTAATTTTGTAACGTTTCTTTTAATTATATTTTGTTTCATTCGTCCAATTGGACGCACTTAGTATTGGCAGGAAACTGCATCTGTGGAAAAAAAATAACTATGTTATAGTTAAGTGAGTTTCAACTGTTTTTTACAGATTTTCTTTGATTCTCACGGTATTCAATATTAACTTGTACACCAGGAAAATTAGTGAAAATAAAAGAGAAACTCGAACTCCTTTCCCCGATATTATTGTAAAATTGTCTAAAGGAACATAATACAAGACATCTCTCGTCTCGTGAGTCAAAAACTTTTATTAGCTAACTTTTCTATTTAAACAAATAAGTGAGGAAAACAGTTTTTTCACGTTGCAGGGAAAACCATCAATTTTAGCGAAAAGTGATTCACAGACAGCTTATAAGGACTAAAATTATCTACAAAATGAGACTTGTTAAATTAAAATCGGTTAATAAACAAAAAAGTTATTGCAAAAAAACAAGAAAAGTGCCCATTTTGAAGATAATTTTACT